GGAAAGTTTGGAGACGAAACATGGTGAAATTAGCAAATAAAGGTACACGAATGTTCAATAATGAAATGTCAGAAACAGGACAACGTGGCAACTGGTACCTATCCTGTGTGATCTTTAACAATTAACGTTAAGTGAAAGATATTAAATGATTAAATTAAATCAAGGGCGCAGGAAATCTTGTACCCGGTACTCATGTAAGAGAATAAGGGCAAGAAAATCCTACTAACAAATGAAACAAAGTTTCGAAAACAAATGAAACAGTTAAATGCTTCAAAAGTAAAATTGGTAGTCCAAGGATGTAGGCATACCTTGCCGAGTCTCTATAGGACATAAAGCAAGTTTTTCCTACTGAATTTAATATGATACTTACAGAATTAGCGAATTTTTGTGCTCTGAAAAAATAAGCTAATTCCCTACCGTTGTATGTATCATCATCTCTGACTGACGTGTAGGGGTGCGAGGTGTCAACTGGTGACGAGAACTGCTGCTGAGGTCCCAATTCAGCAACTAAAGTTCGAGCTAGAGGAACTATGGCCCTCTTTGTCCTCCTACAGTCAGATTGCAGAAGATTGGGTACTCTTGACCCGGGGCAGACCACAGTACCAGGGTACCAATATGATGATCTGTCAGAATGAGAAATATTCAAGGGACATAGATGGTAAATACGAGTAATAACAAGGAGGGAGAGATGACCAATTAAGAGTATGACTGCGGCCTACAGTCACCACGTAATCCAAAGTTGTCTCACCTTCACTATATGTTACTCTCGTAATGCACAATACACCGCACCTTATAAAAAATGAAATTGAATGAAAAATAGTAAAGCTACGTTAACAAAGTTAAATACGCTTACCATAAATTACCACTTGGCACCAGTACCTGAGTGAAGCTCCTAGGACAGGGCCCCCATATAACTTGTGACGGTAACGCGTTGGTGTTCGGCTGTTTAAGGCTAGGGGTATGGCCTCGTCACATAGTTATAAAAAAAATAGAAAAACTGGAACTTCGTCTGTGGTAAGGTAAGGAGAAGACACACAAAACACAAGTAAAACTTTAACAATGAAATTTTAATTACGTTAAATAAATCAAAACATACCTAATGTAAGGAGTGCTGGCTACGAAAGCACTTTAGTGAAATAGGTAATTGGGGGGGGCGAGGCTTAAAAAATCAGCGGAAGCGATCAACGGGTAGTTTGGTGGTTGGAGTTCGAACAGGTGGCTGGTTGCATACGTTTCTGCTCACCCTGGCACCTTGCTGGTGTTTGTTGTCGTTGGACATTTCTTCCATAGTCTTTTATATAGTTGTGAAGACGTTACCGGTTACCTGACATTCTACGCTTAAAATAACCCATCTATTCCCCATAATTGTTCCATATAACTTACCTCTCACCCGCTGGTCGAGTACACAGCAGTATATATCCTCCTCCATCACTCACCGCGTGGATACTATTTCACTCTGGCCGCAAATTGCCTCAAATCACCTACGTTGTCCATAAACATATATAGAAGAGCAACTGACCGTAACACCCGTATAGCAAACATCACATAACGTGGGAACATTAGTAGTACTGCTGTCAAAACATAGATGGCGTCAGGACAAACGGTAATTCCTATGGACTCGCCTAGTTATGCGTAGGGAATTGAGCTTCAGCTGTTTGGTCCCGCCCCTCAGCTGTATTCACCTTGTTGTACTCACTTAATTTGTGCTTGCAGGGGTTGAGCTTTGGTTCTTTGGTCCCGACTCTCAACCGTCAATCTTGTAATAGGTTAAGTAATAATTGTAATTACGAAGCAATAAGATGCTTATCTTAAGATACTAACAAGGTTAGGTAAGGTCGGTGTTTTCTATGAATCTTTTTAAGGGTATCTATTATGGTTAGTATATCACCTATGCACGTAGTTAATAAGTCAATATTGACTTTACGAATTTGCGAGAACGGGTTGCAATTAACCTATACCTATTATAGGTTAGGTAATAATTGTAATTACGAAGCTATAAGATGCTTATCTTAAGATACTAACAAGGTTAGGTAAGGTCGGCGTTTTCTATGAATCTTTTTAAGGGTATCTATTATGTTAAGTATGTCACCTATGCACATATTTAATCAGTCAATATTGACTTATTAAATTTGCGAGAACGGGTTGCATCAACAGGTGTACAGGTTCCTGAGCCTATTGGGCTCTATCACACCTACATTTGAAATTGTGTATGGAGTCAGCCTCCACCACATCACTGCTTAATACATTTCATTTGTTAACTACTCTGACACTGAAAAAATTCTTTCTAATATCTCTGTGGCTCATTTGGGTACTAAGTTCCCCTTGTTCGTGTTCCACCCGTGTTAAAGAGCTGTCTTTGTAACTATCAAAATGCATATATCTTTGCTTTCACTTCAGTTATATTTATGACAAGGGATTTAAAATTTGCCTACATTTCTGCTTCTCTGATGACATTAAAAACTTTCGTTTATTACAGTATCTACATAAAATTAACATTTATCTTCATTAGGTTGTAGTTCTCATCAATAAGGAGAGCGTCGGTAAAAAAAAAAAATTGTTTAAATATAAATATCTTTCCTCTCTCAATAATATGCCCGAAACGCTATGCGTACTAGTGGCTTTAGGTATTGTATGTACTAGCTCTATCTATAAATCCAATATTATGTTTGTAAATCGACTATTTATGTACTTTCCTGAATAAAATGAACTTTACTTTACTAATATCTAATCTCTGTGACTAAAACGGAAGAACGACTTTATCTATGCCTTTTTGATAACATATACAATTATAAGCTTTATTAATGAATCTCTATTAATTAAACAATATATCAGAGCGTGTGTAAGGTTCGGTGTTCCATGTGCAAAGAGACATGGGAGATTTTACATCAGTACAGTAAATGTTTTAAGTAGCGAACGCATACTAACGAATAACGATTAGTATAGACCAACACTATTGTTCTATGAAGTCGATTTAACTTCCAGACATGTATTTTTCAATAAGTCTTAAATATTTTCTGGCTAGTTATGTTAGATATTATTAGAAATACGTATTCTACTTGTTAATATAATAAACTAAATTTGCTATCATTTAAGGAGAGAAGTGCGACGACTGGATCACTGTGTACAGAAGGTTGATATGCCAACAAACACTTTCCAGACAACAATATATCTTGGATAAGTCGCTCCACAACATTGGGACCGTTGACTTCCTATGAGGCCACATATTTACTTATTTCATAATGGAAGTATATTATTTTATAGTAAATATATGTTTTCTCGTGTTCTGCATTAAGCACCAACATTATAGTGAATAAATATACCATATTTCTTCATTATTTAAGTAATGCTAGGAGGCTTTGAGTAGCTTTGGGTCATTAGGTGAACAGAATCTCCAATAGATGGGGCGAGAGTCGCTCTATCTCTCGCCCGAGCGAGAGTCGAAACTTATTTTAGAATTGATATATCTTTGTCCTCCAACAAGATATATTTCCTTTGGTGCACTCACAATAACGAGCATATCTCTGTCTTTCTGAAGGCATATAATATTTTAGGCTTTATAAGCGTATCTTTGTTAATTACACACTATATTGGCAAGTGCGTAGGCTTCTGCATTCCATGACCGACAAGCTACTGAATGCCACTATAAAAACGTATGTATCTTCACTTGAGCTATATATATGTCTATGTTAAAGTATTTAAAATGAAGCTTATATTTCTATCTTTCTTGAGACATATAAAACATATGTGTTTATTAATGAATTTACGTGAAATAAGCATTGTTCTGAGAGAGAGTTGCTCTGTCGATCAGTCTGTGCGGGGTCGGAGCTCGGCGATTATTAAAACACATGTATCTTCATTAGAACTTTATATATATCTATGGTAAAGTATTTAAAATGAAGCTTATATTTCTATCTTTCACAACACATATAAAAACATTTGCGTTTATTAACGAATTTACGTGAAATAAGCATTGTTCTGAGAGAGAGTTACTCCTTTGCTCGATCTGTGCGGGATCGGAGCTCGCCGATTAGAAAAATACACGTATCTTCGCTTTAAATACAAATATGCCCATGGTAAGGCATTTAAAATGAAGATTATGTTTCTATCTTTGTTGAGACGTATAAAAATCTTGCGTTTATTAACGATTCTGCGTGAAATAAGCATTGTTCTGAGATGAACATTTTGATGAATGAACATATTTTTCTCTTGTAATGTATCTTTCATTTATCAATTCTGATTGAACTTACCTACTTAAAATTATCTGCTAGATTAAGGACCTGCCCGAAACGCTCGCGTACTAGTGGCTTTACAAGAATGTAATTACTGTCCCATCCAATGTATTCTCACAAACCCAATGTACCTTCTTGTATATATATAAATAAAATAAATAAATAAATAAATGAATATTGCGGATTTCCGGCTCTACGACTGATGAAAAATGCAACTTTTATACAACTACAAATATCTTTAGTTTTACTTTAAATTTTGTCCTGAAAGAGTTTTCATATATAGATCCAGTTTCTGCCGTTCTTCTGACATAAAAAGACCTTTGGTTTAATAAGTTATTAAGATGTTTTCAACAATATTACTAGGGCGTTCACCAATTCTAACATGGGCGACCCTTTTGGAAACGCAACACATGGGTTGACTTGATTGATATATGGGTCAGATTCCATTAAGGTTCGGAACAATTATATTATTGTTGTTACTATGTATGATTTCACAATCTCATACTGGGTGAGATGTAAGTATAATTAATATAATTAGTTCCCCCTTTCTTATTTTTATTTTTATTTGTTCTCAACACATTTTATACTTTAAACTCAATTAGTATTAAGTTTTAGTCTTTAATGTTTTCCTGCCCGAAACGCTTTGCGTAATAGTGGCTTTAGGCATTGTATGTACTAGCTCTATCTATAAATCCATCAACTTTGTATCTTACCTTGTATGTATGTACCTTACCTGAATCAAAAAAATTATTTATTTAATTAATGCTTAGTCACGATGCAGACTTGCCAGCCAGTAACATTTCGTGTGCTATGTACGCAGCAATTTGGATCTGGCAACCGTGGGCGAGAGTGGCCTCAGTCACCCGTGTGGAGCAACACTGGTGAGTGGTGCAGGTCACACAAGGAGTACACATCCTCCAATGTATTTGTAGTTGGTCTCGAACCCACTGTTGATGTAACAATAATTAGTGTATAGTTACATTTATCAATCCCCGTGTCGCCCCACGCTTTGTAAGCGATTTGGTCTGGGTTCGTATCCTGGCCGGGGAGGATTGACTAGGCGACAGTCTTAAACTGTACCCCTTGTGTTCACCCAGCAGTGATTGGGTATCTGGTTGTTACAGCCCGCCATCATAAACCAAGGCCAAAGTACACACACCCGCCAAACCAGCTGTTTATGAATGATTTCAGTCTCCGTGGTGCAGTGGTAAGACACTCGCCTGACGGTCCGCGAGCGCTTTGTCATAGATTCGTATCCTGGCCGGGGAGGATTTACTGGGCGCAAATCCTTAACTGTAGCCTCTGCTTAACTCAACAGTAAAATGTGTACTTGGTTGTAACAACGATTCTTCGCGGCGGGGATCGTATTCCAGGAACCTGCCCGAAACGCTACGCGTACAAGTGGCTGTACAAGAATGTAACAACTCTTGTATATATCTAAAAAAAAAAAAAAAAAAAAAAGTTTACACACGACTCGACTGTTGACGTTCGAACACTTCCAGAACAAGTGTTTCACTGACAATTTTTGTTCGAACAACAACGCTGTAAAATATAAATAATCACCAACAGAACCTAAATTCCTAACCTAACCAATGTCTAAATATGCACTATATGGTAATACAGTATTGTATATAATACTAATTTATATGAGAAAATTCATGTTTTGAATGAACAGCATCTCTCATCACTATTCCTTCCCCCGTCCCATCCCAAATCCTCATCCTGACCCCCCTCCCAGTGTTATATAGTTGTAATGGCTTGGCCCTTTCCCCCCTGATAGTTCCCTTCCCTTCTCATCTTCATCCGTCTTCACAAGTGTAATCCTCTCTTGTCAATTTGTAGTTATGTTGAACTCAAAATTGTCTACAATGTAACTCTTCATCTTGCCTTAGTTGTTAGATTAAAGACCTACCCAAAATGCCTGGAGTGTTAGTAAGTAAAGTAAATTTTATTCAGGAGAGTACATATTTAGTTGATTTACAAACATACTGTTGGATTTATAGATAGAGCTAGTACATACAATACCTAAAGCCATTAGTTAGTGGCTCTGCTAGAATGAAAGAACACCAATGTTATGTATTCTCACAAACCTAATGCACATTCTTGTATAAAACTATATAAATAAATAAATTTCACTAAAGCTGCTGATGACTTGGCAGTCACATAATCACACAAGCCCACATTAAAGTACATAATTCAACATAAACTATATAATGAAATGGGAGAAAATTCAGTCAGGCAGTCATCCCTTTCCTTTGGCAACTGTTGGTGACCTTCCAGTAGTTTTCAAGCTTTAGTATTTTTTTTATAGATTGACTTTTTAATTATATTTTGATAGTAAACTATTGTCATAACCTGTGTAGTTTAAATAGCATGTCATGTTTGATAAGTTATTCCAGTAAAAGAATTTTAGGAGAAATTATGTTTTCAGGTAAATAATGGAGGAGCATCAAGTGGTTCCAGATGTCATTGATGCTGCACCTACAGCTTCAGTGTTGGTACTGTATAAATATATATAATACAGTATATGCAATAATGATCACAAAAACACTGATCCAAGTATGCAGAATAACCACATGTGAAAAATAGAAAAGGCTTAACGTGTTTTCGGCTAATTCGCCTTCATCAGAGCAAAGTAGAATGAAAAAAGTGTGTAATTTTTATAATATATATATATATATATAATATATATATATATATATAAATTTATTACGCACACACTCTGTAAAGTATGTTTTGGTAGCAGTCTTTCTTGCAAACATTTGTTGAATATGACCAAAAGGGTAAGATTAATGATTCTAACACGAATCTTCTCGATATTTTCTTCACTGTTGAGGGAAGTTGAAAAATTAACTACGAAGTTCATTATACGACTTGTTGCTAGGCAAGGAAGTAAATGAGATGTATGCTAAATTCTGTGAAATTACGATGAGGGCACAACTAAAATGTATACCTTGGAAAAAAAGAATAAAAAGGTATTTGTAGTTTTATTTTGATATTGTCAATGCTAGGCTTGTTAGTAGTAAGACTTATTAGATAAATCAACAGTGCATTATCTTAAAATGGTCTCATTTAACAGGTGAAATTTGGAGATTTGGAGATAAATAATGGGACGGTGTTGACACCAACTCAGACCAAGGCCCCACCCACGCACCTGGCATGGCCATGTGAAGACGACGCTTTATACACACTTTGCTTGACAGGTGAATTTTTGTTAGTAGCTTAAGAGACGATTTTAGTGGAGAGTCTCGTTGGAAAATGTTTAGTGCTTTAAAGATTAGAAAACTTCAAAAGAATGCCAAGGCTCAGAGTACTGTATGTACAGGAGGCTGGTCCAAGCTTTATACAGATGGGGAAAAAAATTCTGCTTGCCAAATGGCTCACCACAGGCAGTTGAGGTTTGTTATAAAAATGATTTGTATAACTTATCAACTCGATTCAAGCATTCACTTGTGCCACCAAGCCATATGTGATCAAGTTGTATTTCCAAGCCACCCATGTGGTAACTTGTAAAGGCTTGTTTTTATTCGGTGGTTTTGCCCCGAGGACTGACACCATAAAACAAGTATTCAGGCTGTTTACCAGTGTCTGAACCAGCTTTAAACACAGGGTAGCACTGTCAAATATTCACGGGTCTGTCTTTACCACTAAATATATATGAATGTTTTCTGAATCTTGAGAGTTTTATATAATATACTGTACCTCACAAGTTCTAGGGAGGGGTTAGACTTTTTTTTAGCCAATCTAATGTACAGTAGTGTGTGTTTTGAACTTAAAGGATTGCACCTTGCAGATTAATAATTGAATTAGTTTTGTTGGGATTTTGCCTGTGTATGTACAGAGGACCACATGCTTTCCGAATGCCACTTACCCAGATATGCCCGTTTCCCATTTTGGGTTTGTCCGAATGAAAGTGATAAACTGATAAGGTGAGTGGTGCGAATAAAATGGTGTGAGAAAGTTATGAGGGGCGTGCATGCCGAGCCTCCCAGCACTGGGTGCAACGAGGCCAATACACACACATTATATATACAGTACTATACTTTTTATGGACCATTACAAGCATCTTAGTAGATCTGGTGGGTGTAGTAATCTCATAATCCAAGCACAGCATAGTGCCACACACTAGTCAGTTGTTAATGGCACCTGACAAGTCTTCCCCTACTATACTATGCACATTGCTAACTCTAGCCACGCCTCCTGTGAATATAGTATAATTGCCTGTGCATTAGCTAGTTTTATATAGGGATTGCATTTACTGTACTGTCTTATTTTATATATGTATTGTGGCCTTTTCAGTTTGAAAGTTATGAATTTCAGGTACAGTAATTATTATTTTTTTTCTTTCAGATCCGGATGCTCCAAGTCGTAAAGCACCAAAATTCCGTGAATGGCACCATTGGCTAGTTGTCAATATTCCTGGATGTGAAGTAAATGATGGAGAGACACTGAGTCAGTATGTGGGATCTGGTCCACCAAAAGGCACAGGTAGATTCTGCAGGACTAATTTTTGTTTTTAGTTCATAAAAGTTAATATTAAGTTTTCTTAATCTTTTAACTATGATAAGCAGGAATGCTTGCTCGTTAAAAATATTTTTCAATGCAATAGTAGTTTAATAAAATAAAAATTATACTTTCAATGATTTGTAATGTTCAAGAAATCTTGCTTCCAAAGCAGGAGTCCAGAGCGTGGTAGCTGCAGTTTAGTGGCAATACTATAGAGAGAAATGTCACTGATGTGGTCACCATTATGAGTGCAATAATGAAAATGATAAAAATAAAAAGTGCATTATTTCTTTTTACAAATTTAGATAGCTTGCAAACTTAAACCAGTGCCTTGAGAAAATAAGCACAATAGCACTAGAATGTGCAAGTCACATGTAACTAAGGAGAAAGATATAAAGATGTAAACTGGAACAAGAACGGCATTCCCTCTACATATGTCACAAAAACAAATTAAAGAGGATTTTAATGCTCGGCTCTATCCGAAGAACGACAAAGGCGGCTATGTAGAGAAATAGAAATGATTGAGCTAAGGTTGCAACAGTCATATAAAATCCTGGGGAGAGAGAGCAAAAGGCCATAAGCAAAATTGAGAGGAATCTAAAATATTTTTGCAAGTCTTGATGAATATAGTATAGAATTCCAAGAACCTTGGCCTGGTGCAGAGTGCATGGGCATGCTGTCTATGGCTACTTCAAAGTAGAGTGGTTTAGGGTGTAATATACACAAATTTAGCAAAAGCCTTCGATAAATGTGACCATGGTGTTATTACACACACAAGAAAATATACTGACAAAGTAGGGAGAGGGAGCTTTAACTTCCTAACAATCAGGACCCAGAGTGTAATAGTTAACAAAATAAAATCTGAATCCTCCACTGTAAAAAACTCGGTCCCCCAAGGTACCGTACAGCTCCGGTACTTTTCCTCATCCTCAGATCGGACATAGACAAGGGTACAAACTATAGTACTGTATCATCCTTTGCAGATGACATTAAAACTTTCGTCTGAGTAGACTACATAGAGGACACAGCAATCCTCCAATCTCATGTTTATAAAGTCTTTCAATAGCCCACAGAAAATACTGTGGCACATACAAGTGTGAAAATACTGTGCTTAATGAGGATAAGTTCCAGTTACTGTGCTATGGAAAAAATGATAACATGAAAGCAGAACCCACTTAAAGAACAGTCAAATCACACTATTGAAAGAAAAAGCAATGTAAACGATTTAGGAGTAATCATGTTGGAAGACCTTACTTTCAAAGAACACAACAAAATTGCTGCCACATCTGCAAAAAAAAAAAAAAAAAGACACGTTGGATAACAAGCACCTTCCAAATAAGAGATGCCATGCCAATGATACATTAATGCTCTCTAAAGTGGAAGATTGTTTGCACAGTAACAGCTCCATTCAAAGCTGGAGAAATTGCTGAGCTGGAGTGTGCAAGGTGAAGCAAGGTGCTTCTAGAATCCACTCAATAAAACATCAGAATTATTGAGAAAACCTAGAAATTTTAAATCTGTATTCCCTATAGCACAGGCAGGAGAGAGAAATGATAATCTACACTTGGAATATATTAGGACTAGTTTCACATCTGCACACAAAAATAAGACCACGTGAGACCAAAAGACATGGCAGGATGTGCAAAATAACCCCTTTGAAGAGCAGAGGTGCAACAGGCATACAGAGAAAGGAGAACTCTTATCAACATCAACTGCCCCCAACACTTTTCAACAATTTTTCCTTGTACATAAGAGACATAACTGGCAGACCTCTCGCAGTGTTCAAAAGAGAATGTGACAAGCACCTTCCAAAGATATCAACTAGGCTACGACTTACATTAGGCTGCGAGCAGCCGCATCAAACAGCCTGATGGATCAGACTAGCAACCAGGAGGCCAGGTTGACTGGGTCGCAGGTACATCGATCCCCGGAACCTTCAACAGGTAGGTTGCTCAAATCAACGAGAAAATAACAAACATTTTGCATCTGTTTATTTGTGACTCTGAGAAGGAGGATGCGTACCCTCGGGAATTTTAAATATTGCGCCACACAAAATTAACCCTGGGCGATATGTGCAGTTAAGCTTAAGTTAATATTTTTTAATGTATAGTATATGTATTTATAGGGTCCCAGTAGTACAATAAAGTTCATTCTCAACTCTGTTGGGAATTTTGGGTGGGACAGAAATGGTTAGGCATGTTTTCTATTACCTAATGTGTGTTCACCTAGCAGTAAATAGGTACTCGGGAGATAGTCAGCTTCTTGTTTGGTTACTTCCTAGGGAGTCAATAATTAGACCTTTATGGGACCTCGATATAAATGTCAGATATAGTATATATACTCTGGCTGCCTGTCCCCCGACAATGAATTATTATTATTTATATTTGGAAAGAACACACAATTTGCTTGTTGGAATTATAATCAAAATATAGAATAAAGCCTCAAATAAACAATTTTCTCAGTATTCTTATTGGCAGTACAGTATATCTATTATGGTAAGCAATGTCTTGGAACACTTGTGACCTGGTTTAAGCTACTTGGGCCATACTTTATATTAGAAAATGGATACTATTTTAAAATAGGATTGTAGACTCTTACAACAAGTTGCCAGGCAACATGTGTGATTGGGTACAGTTTTATATGGGTATAAGCCCATGCAATGTCTATTAGCTTTAGTGGATTAAATCAAATTAAGCATAGAGCAATATCACCTTACAGCCATCATGTTTCCATTGATCACATTTTTATTTTTTTAAGATATAGTGAAAACTAATATTTCTGTGTTTAGTTGTGAAATAGCATACGGTATTAGCATTTTTCAATACAACTTCAAAACTATGATTTTCAGGACTTCATCGGTATGTGTACTTGGTATACAAGCAGAATGGCAAGTTGACCTGTGATGAACCAAGACTGACTAACACCTCGGGTAAGAAATTATGACGGAAATTATTTTGTCTTGTATACAGTACATTCAATTGTTGAACATGCACTATCCAGTTACCATTTAAAATGTTTAATATTCGTTTACACTAATAGTTCTTGCAAATAACTTGTTTAAACGGTAAATTGTACATTTTCAGGAGCTAATCGCGGTTGTTTCAGTATCCGCAAGTTTGCTGGAAAATACAACCTAGAGCTGATTGCAGGTAATTTTTACCGAGCGGAATATGACTCGTATTGTGAGGAGCTGTACAAGCAGCTAAAGGGTTGATGACTTTAAAAAAAATCTGCAGTGATAATACACTACTACTCCAGTGTATAACTACTTGAAGCTTGACTGTCATAAAATTCCTTTTGGTTATATTTACAATTTTGTTTGATTTTTGTAAATTAATCACAATGTGTCCACCATATGAACTTTGCTATATGGGTTTTCAATTGTGTAGTATTGAAAAAACTATTGCTTTATAACAACTGGATATTTATATAGCATCTTTAATTCATATTTCTGCTCTTAAGCTAAATGTTCCCTCTTATAAGGCAAATACTTATGAACAGGCAAAATAAAAACTGGTTTAATAGCAATTTTTGGATTTTTTATTTTTGTTTATGATCTGTATATGTAAGCACAATTGCAAGTGAAAATAAGTATATGGAAATTAACTAACCTCCTGGAAACTCTTGCTAGGTTATCAGGATAGAAGTAAACCAGTGAAAAGTAACCAATAGGTAAGTACTGTACTATAATTATCAAAAGGCACCAAACCGAACCAACAGGTAAATCAAATGCTCAAACAGTACAGAGTTTAAATACTTGTCTTGGTAGTTTACAAATTTTATAAAAGGCAAAATTTACTATAAAGTGCAATGATGATTATTACTGGCTCAGAAGAGGAACAGGTTAGAATGGTAGCTTTTAAAATTGTAGTAAAGTGGAGTTGGTGTACTAATATCTTTTGCTTTTAAAATTGTAGTAAAGTGGAGTTGGTGTACTAATATCTTTAATGAAAGCCAGACAGGGTAAAAAAAAAAAAAAAAAAGAGTAAATAAAAACTATATACAGTGTATAAGTTCAGTTGATTAGGGTGGTGAACACTGGCCAACATGGGGTGGAGGGCATCATTCACAGGGTCCCTCTGAACTGGAGATTACATTTTGCTTGCACCAATGCAGACTACTTTTCCCTCTGTCCCTTAGCCTAGACATCCAACACTGGACAATCACAAAGATCATTTCATAATTACAATGAATAGTGAGTGCTCCAGACAAATATGTAGTTAGTAGAGATCAATGGTTTAATGTTTTCAATATATCTGAACATGTCATAATGGTTCAGCAAAGAGAAATTCAAGTGATCAAAAATTTGTCAATTCATGAATTACAAAAATCCATTTCACAGTGGAAGCAATAAATTTCTCTAGCTATAAACTATTTCTAAAGCAACATCAATAAAGGATTAAGGATTTGTACATTAATGCTTGTCATTCTATAAGTAAGTAATTATCAAAAGAAGGCACCAAACTGGGAAGGCTATGTTTGTCCTTCTATAAGCTAAATATTGTACATTGTGTAGGAAAATTACAAAAAAAACTCAAACATATAGCTAAGAACAACTAGATGTGAAAGGTATTCCTGGTTTCCTATGCTGCCATCTCATATTAACACTTTCGTGCACCCCGCCCGCCACCCCTCAACTGTGCGATATGGGACCCAGGGTGTCACGGGAGCGCTCTTAAATTTTGTATCATTGTGTTCGCAATAGAATTCTCTACAGCACTAAATGCATATAAACTCCAAAAGCCCGGCTAATTACCCGCAGCAAACAGAGAAAGTGCGAACGAGTTACCCAGGAGCGCGCAAACGCGATAAAATGTTTTCACTATTTTCACTCTGGTCACCTCAATTTTCGTCCTAGGTCTTTCATTTTGGTCTCAATGGGTTCACAATAGAATTCTCTATAGGAACATTAGCATATAAAATAAAAAACCTGGTCACGCTCCAACCGCCAACGAGTTGAAGACGGGCCACGCGTTAGCCGCAAGTGAGCGCTCAGATGCCTTCCAGCTACACTCCCAATTCCCGCCCTTTTCAAGCCTTTCTTTCGCAATTTTCTTCCTGGAAGGGCCTTGTTCATGATCACTATCCATCGTGGAGTAAGCGTAGATAGTTTCTAAAGCCGCAGTAAGAAATATAGCCACGGAAAATAGCCGAAATGTTCACACGTTTGAGATGCGAGGGGAGGCAACATTGGTCACAACAGTGGAGCGAAAACAATGGGCCCATGGCGTGTGCCAAGCTGCCTGAGGGCCACGAGGCTCAACAAAGAAAATGGGAAGACATCGGCGCGCATTTTAAAACCAGTCCCCAAAAAATCGGATAAAAACCTGATTTTTGGCGATTATTTAAAGTGGATGATGCAATGCTGCGTCATCCCCGGTATTATCGCCAGTAAACGGATGACGCAATGCTGCGTCATGTCCGGGCGAAAGTGTTAATACAAACTGTAATTATCATTTTCACTTTTGTGGGGGGAGGGGTTAGTGAAAAATAATTTTTCACCTTGTGGATACTGTAGAACAGAAAAAAAAAAATTAACGCTACCACAAGATGTTTACAAGGCTGAAGTTTGATATTGGCACAGCTGTAAAACATTGTACTCTATATTATGTATACGGTATTATATACAATAAAATATTAATACTGAAATGACAAACTTCAGTATTTATGAAAAGTACAACAGAGCTCTTTAGAACATTAAAACATACATACTTGTAATGAGATTCTTCTCAGACCATTGAATTTTAATTCAGTTGCAAATTTCAGTACAAAATAACATTGAAAATTCTGGTCAAGTGAAGTTTTGTCAGAACCACAAAACTTTTTGTTTTGTGGTGGTGGTGGGGGGGGGGGGGGGGTAGCTTCTATCTGCATGTGGTCCTAAAAAAGTAGGACCAGCCTACTCCTTACTACTTTCTTCCCTTTTGTGTGTCTGACAGCTGCTTGCATCTCCTTATCATTGCATTACCTCTCAGTTCCAGTTAATAGGAACTGTTCTTATCAGCACTTTTTTTTTAATATTCATAGGAAATAGATTTTATAACATTGGGATGAAAATTCCATGGCACTGTTGCCAAAAAGTTGGAAATTTGTATAACAAAAAAGTAATTTTCATTACCTTAATTTTTTTTTTAAACTCCCACCCCTTAATTCGTGCTACAGTTCTCATTTAGGTATCAAAATATTCCTAAGAAAATAGACTACAATACTGAAACAATCTAAGACAATCATGTGTACTTACCAAAGCAAAGACGATTGTAGTAAAATAAGTTGAGCATTTTATCTCCACTCCACCTCCTTCAGGTACTGATTCCTGAAGTTGCTCAACAGATGTTCCTAGGTGGAGTGAAGCTGGTGCGGGTGGTTATTTCTTGTCCACCCAATACACCCTTTTCCTGTGATAAGTGGTGTAACAAGGTATGACACAAAGTGGAACATCGCATGTCTTGCACGCTATACCAGTTTCCTTCCTGATACCAGACTTTGCACACACTTCACACCTGCGACGTTTGGGGATTTTTACCAGCTCATGTTTCAATTTATAGTTCAGGCGAGTCTGCTATAACAACACGTCGCTGTTGTCTCTGGGTTGGCAATAAACTACTGTCTGAATCGTCGCTCTCACTATTGTTTTCAAACACTAATGTGGAATATGAATTATCTTCATCAGATTCAGCTTCAGCACTAGATGTAGACGTGAAGAGAGGGCGCCTCACACCCGGCGGGCCAGGTGTTGACGGGTCAGCAGCAGGATACACAGGACCAGTGTCATCATTTATGTCTGGAGCATGAACTAGATGTGGAGATGGTGTAGTTGTTGCAGGCCACTCTGCCTTGTCAAATTTCAATAAAGACCAAATAGCAACTTCATGGAACTGGAGCAGAGTTAGTTTCCTTCGATCATCTGTGTTGGCCTTGTACAATGCATAAGCATTTTGCAATGCCATTTGCAAGAAATAAAATGTTATTTTCTTGGTCCACTTGTGACATTTCCTGGCGAAATGGTAATACTTTACCATTTGATCAAAGTGGTCAACACCCTTCATGAACTTATTGTAGTCAACAATTGCCTGTGGTTTGTTCACCACAACCTGCTGTAGTCTTACTGTTCCATCTGCCCTGCGAACTCGTTTTCTTTTCTGAACTTTCTTAACAAAGTGATGTCTCCCTATAAACAATTGTTAAAATGTAGACAAAATCAAGTGTCTTTAGAACCCATTTAAATTTGTGGGTATGGGGAGTGTAAAGTGATAATAGGAACCTTCTACTTATCTTCACTCATAACTATTGCAAATGTTTAAAACAATAAGCAATGGAGTATTCAAGATATTGCACACAACAGACTGAATTAACATTCGAACTGAATGCTTAGTACTGTATAATGTTTTTCTAAAAGTAACACCTAAATAACTTGGTTTTCTGAGCTAACCAAGAAGCTTCACATCACCACAAAGCACACAAATATTAATTTTACTCTCAGCATGCCAAGAACAGCAAATAGGTCTAAAAAACATATTAATTACTCTTTGATAACACAGCCTGCTAATCATTATATTTAGCATAAAAGTATGAATATATAATTCACATTCAGTAGTGTCTCAAGCAAAAGCCTGAGATGAACGCCCCTGCTCTTCATCAATACTAAGAGCTTGACAACTCTGTCCTTCATCAGTACTGAGAACCTGATGCATGCAGGTCTGTTCTTTATCACTATGAACCTGAGAGAGACTACCTTGTTCCTCATCACAGTGCGTGTATGTATTCCTAGGCTCGGCTTCTGTCATTAGGTTAGTATTCTCATCTCTTCCAGTCACTTGAGCAAGTGCTGCCAAGAATTCATTCTGTACACTGTAGTCCATCAGCATTCGAGCAGTCTGTGCAGTAGGGAAGACTCATTTAGAGAAAATTGTAGAAATGTAAAATTTAGGTACTTGTGCATTATTCCTTTTATTAAACTGGGATTCCAAAAAAATATACATACTAAGTTCCTGTGCATACTAAATTTTCATTAACAATCAGGTTATGAACAAAAACCAATGGTCCTGTCTTATGAAAGATGAAATGAAAGAGAACGAAATGATAATGGCTATTAAAGGTTGTTTAAAACCACTAAATCTCATTAAAGTTCTCCAAATCTCTCTTATCATCTGCACTTCACAATGACATTGCTTTGATGGCATTGGCAGTCCAAATATGTTAATTTCTAGTTAACACCACATGGCCTAGCTGTTACCCAATAAGAGTTAAATGCCTGGAGACTTAATATGCTTCAAATCCCTATGCAATAAAACCCAAATAAACCAGTTTATTGTGCCAGTCCATCCAAGATTTGTTGTTAATGTAGACTACAAATAATACCCGACTTATAATGACCAAATATAGCCATACTACTACTGAAATCATGACATGAGCTGGCATCAAGAAAGGTAGGGGCTCTCCCCAGAGGTGCCCTTTTTACCTTTACTGGAGCTGTCATTTGCAAACCCAGGATGCCTTCTGCGGCTTTGCCGTTGCCAATGGCCAAACCATGTGAATGCTGCTTTTGGTATCTAGCATTCTCTATGGTTTGCGAGTTGGTGGCAGTTTTTGGTTACCCTTTTGGCACCTTTACTGTATATCCCTTGGGTATCTACGCTCTGGCTCATCTTTGCACTCTTGTAGTTACTTGTCTCCTCCAGTGTAGGTCGATTTGATTTTTTCTTGTATGGCTTTTCTGAGGGTAGCCCCATTGGCTCCCTGGAGCTATCAGGCTGGTGTGTGTTATATTAGTCTGGGGCATCAGTTAATTGGAGTTCAGCCTACTGGGAACCACAAGCCAGAACTTGGCACCCCCCTCAGAGAGGCAAAGGGAGTGATGGCCTATAGAAACCCCCATATAGTTGGAAGCATTCCATATCTGCCATCGACCGGGGTTGGCTCCCAGAAAGGTAGGCATAACAAAACAGACCTCACAAGGTAAGAAAAACCAAAGACCAAACAGAGAAGCAGAACTCCTCCCCCCCCTGCCCGCCACCTAAAGGAACAAGCAAATATTACAATCCACCACCATGCCGCTTGTCCACGCAGCTCACTCAGGACCCCTTGTGCCTGCTACACAATCACTCCAGTTCGGAGGCTGAGCATCAAAACCCATGCGAAAATACCGCCGATCAGGAGGGAGGGAACCTCCTGGGGGCTCACCCAGAAAATGGCATTTCATTACATTCAACGCTGGATTTCTGAGGGAAGCCCCTTTGGTTTCCTGGCGTTACCTAACCAAAGATAAGGAAAAGAGGGGCTTACCTAGGAGGTGGTCGTCATTTGCTTCTCAACTCGAAGTTGAGACAGCTGGCTGTAACCTACGGCCCAAAGCTACACATGGATGACTAGGCCCAGGAATTTTGACGAGATAAAGTGTGGCCAGGACACCGTTTGACCTCTAAAATGACTGGGTAGTTCCAGTAGCTGGATGTGCTGTGACTGGTGGTGGGCAGTTGCTACTAGAAGATGAATCACCTAAGAATTGGGTGGATAGTTTTGGGGGTTTTATTTACCTTGCTGTCGTCTCTCTTGTCTTGCTCTACCTTTCTGGTGTTTATCAGAGTGATTTCATATTCTCACATTCACTGCGCCTCTATAGAGGGGGGCCACAAGGTGCTGGCCTCTGCTTTCTGGTGGTTTACAATGACTTGCAAAGGCTTGGTGTAATTTGAGTTGGGTGGAGCTATCCAGAGTGCTAACAACAGGGAGCCTCACTAGAAAACTTCCCCAAATTGAGGAGGGTTCCAAAATTATTTAACTCCAACACATGTGACTCCTGTGGTGCACACACAAAAAAACTAAATTAATTTTCTTTTGAATATAGTATTGTTAAAATGCATTCCCTGATCACAGGGGAAAAAAAAATGTTCCTAGTCACTTTAGCTATGGTGGAGTGAGGAAATATCACAATGGCATCAATGATTCACAATCGCTGGTCACTAAATCCTGCACGAGTCATTTTTCACATTCTGCAAAAATCACGGCTGCGTTCTGTCTGACTTGCTTTGGGAACATTGTCATCAAGATCAGGTTTACTGATATCTAAACCTTGTACATGATCTTTTTGACTCAGGGTCTTCTATGTCAGTATCAAATATAAATAATTGCGGATACTTATTTATTTAGTAATTATGAAGTGATGCTGTATCACACAAGCTACATGATGGTGCTGTGAGCTGCAGGAACATGCACTACCCTTGGTTGCTGTGTTAGTACTGAGGCTCTCACACCCAGGATAGGTGCTCATGATTTTTTCAAAGAAGGCGTCTGATTACTGGAGACTCGAAGGAGTTTTAAATCTTACACTAGACCTAATAACAACCCTGGGTGTTGTGCTCACCACCAATGAAACAATTCTTGTTCACAAAAGGTTAAAGTAGCCTGGATTTCTGACCATGTTGCATAAAACAAACATAAATCAAACGATTCTTCGCGGCAGGGGATCGTATTCCAGGGACCATAGGATTAAGAACTTGCCCGAAACGCTACGCGTACTAGTGGCTGTACAAGAATGTAACGACTCTTGTATATATCTCAAAAAAAAAAAAAAAAAAAAAAAAAAAAAAAAAAAATTACATTTGTATTAGTACAATAAACACACATGCCATACCATACAAGATTACTAACCTGGAAAATTACAAACAAGATGTTTATAATGCCAGATGCAACATGCACTGCAGGATATAAATAGCAGAAAGCTCCAATGGAACCAGTTAACAAGATAATGTCTTCTGGGATGATTTGCAAAACTTTCTGAAACAAAGAAAAGAAACGGCACTTACATACCACATCATTGCTGAAAGTTTTTACGATTATGCTCAAAAACTGATTTCCCAACCAAATCCGACCAATCACATTAGCATAATTGATGAGTGTACCCTAATCCATCCCAGGGTCAGTACATATCATATGAAATACTTTTGAAAACTAAGTGTAGCCACAAAAACACACCTTTCTGATGGATTCCTCGGTAGCTTCCTGATCTACCTACCTCAATACCCATTAAACCTTCAATGCCACACTGGAATCTTATCAATTCACAATCACCTACTAGAAACTAGAAGCAGAATCTGGTTCACTCTGTACAGGAAAGAGGAGTATGGCAATCCAGGATCACCAGTTACCAAGAAAAAAGCCACCAGAAAGGTTGAAAACACCAAAACTAACAACTGCATATGTATCACATTTGCAATGCAGGCTCTATGTAAACAATCATTATCCAAGCTAGGCCACTGGTTTGTAACTCCTGATCACCAAATGGCATCCCCAATCACCAGGGAATCATTGACACCACTCCTATTATTCACACACCACCCCAACACATTACCTTTGAACTCTCAGGAAAGGGGGGCAAGGACAGGATGGGGAGCTACCAAGGTACCCACATGAAACATGTTTAATTACATTTAATGCTGGTTTTTTGTGAGGGCCCCTTCAGGAACTCCCAAGAGTTATCTCAGCATGGAAAACGTTGAAAGAAATCAGGAAGACTGATTGTGAAGGGGTGAAGGAGTTGAATTCACACAGGTGGATTCATGTGTGGGTCAGCTGACTTAACACCTCACAAGTGCAACATTATCTAGGAACACTGACCAAGCACCCTATTTGAGCATCAAAAACCCCAAGTCCAAATGCAAGATAGTGACATTTTACCAAAAAAAAAAAAAAAAAAAAAGCACACAGAGCCTCAACATGCAAACATCATAAGCCTAGGGGAACACACCCAGTTAGCTCATCAACTGAACCACATCCTAGACCACTTGAGACAACTGAACCCTGGAATGAGACCATGGACACAAGGCTAACAGTGTATCAACCAGATACACCGTGAACCAGATACAGATGAACAGATACAGATGAACAGTGGCCACAGGATAAAGTGTGATTGGCCAGGAGAAATCAAGCATCAATTACCAAAAGACCTCCTCCAGAAAGCTGAAATCTCATTCTTCACCAGAAAAACCAGAGGAAGTTGAATGGACTGAAAAGAACAGGAAAACCTATTTACAAAGAAGAGTACAAAGTTCTCTAACCTGACAATCAAACAAGAATTACTAAAAATTCTGCCTTGCAGAACACATTAAGAAAAGACTGAGAAACTAAAAAAAAAATAGCAATAGCAATCTTTCTTTGTTTCAAATGTGTCCCATTTGTTTTGTATTTTTCATTTATTTCTCAATGATGGAGCAGCCTACCCGACAAACACTGAACGAACCTTTATGGCATTTGTCCGTTTTTCAAATTGTTTCAACTTTTTTTATTTAAGAAACATGGAACAGCCTACCTGCCGACCATCGAACGAACCTTTTTGAAATTTGTTGTTTTTCAAAATTCTTCATTTTTTTTATAAGAAACATGGAGCAGCCTACCTGACAAACACCAAACGAACCTTTTGACATTTGTTCTTTCTTTAAAAAAGTTCATTTCATTTTTCTACAAAAAGTCAATGATTTGCAACATCCCAGCATCAATAGCATCTTTATAAAAAGAAAAATAATTTATTTGCATCGTCAGAGGTGTCCGAGAATGTGCGAGAAGCAGCCCCCGACCCCACCATTTGGTGTTAACGTTATTCAAACAAGCGGTCGCCTAACGAGACGAATTGTCGGCGATCGGGGTGTTTGTTACCCAAAATGGTTGCCATTTGAGGCAGTCATCACTCGAGGTTCTACTGTATATATTTTATAAAACATAATAGTCTCCCTTGCATACTTACCCACAAAACTGGAACATTATCTAACTGATGATAAGCCAGTTCTGTCACTGCTGCTGGCATGGAGCGAAAGAAGACTACAGCATCCCCACACAACATCAAAATGCTTGGCCAGTAATAATTTCCAACAAATCCACTGCTGATAAGTATTATTGCCAGAAGAGACACAACCTGAGGACAAAGTAAATTACAAGTACATCAGTATAAATACACCTTAGGGGAGACATGATAACCACCTACAAAATTCTCAGGGGAATTGACAGGGTGGACAAAGACAAACTCTTCAGCACGGGTGGGACACGAACAAGGGGACACAGGTGGAAACTTAGTACCCAGATGAGCCACAGAGACGTTAGAAAGAATTTTTTCAGTGTCAGAGTAGTTAATAAATGGAATGCATTAGGAAGTGATGTGGTGGAGGCTGACTCCATACACAGTTTCAAATGTAGATATGATAGAGCCCAGTAGGCTCAGGAATCTGTACACCAGTTGATTGACAGTTGAGAGGCGGGACCAAAGAGCCAAAGCTCAACCCCCGCAAGCACAATTAGGTGAGTACAATTAGGTGAGTACAATTAGGTGAGTACCTTATTGTAGATTATTAATATAATAAATGCTCAATATTAAAAGGGGAAGTATTCCTGAATTCCTGAACACTCCACTTCTTATCAGACTGAGCTATATATTACTAATCACCTTATGGAAAAATGAGTGTGTTCTATAACCAAGGATTTGTTACATAAGACTCAACATAAATGAGTTCACTTGAAATAATGAACTAGAGATGTTGTTCTAGGAATAGTGCACTCCAATATGTAAACATTTCAGGATCTGTGACTATGATTGGCTTCCGGTTTTGCATAAAACTGCATGTACTCAAAATTATAATTAAATATTAGAAATTGTTAAGTCATAACAATGCATCTCAGTCTTAGGGCTTACAATGATAACATTAGAGTAGTAACACTTAATAATCATTATATTGAACAAATCACAAGTTCTGTTTTGTCCACAAAATAAATCTGTGTTAATCAGTTGCTCCAGAAGTGATTACTGATTAGTAACACTTAAATAAAGAAATCCAAGGCTAATTTGCAATGATGGAAAATCACTTGTTGACAATGGTTCACTAAAATCAATGCAACATGGGTTTGTTGAAAATAGATCCTGCCTTACTAACCTGCTCACATTTATGGAAATGGTAACCGGCTATTTAGACAAAGGACTTCAAGTAGATATAGTTTACATGGACTTTGCTAAAGCTTTTGACAAGGTACCACATGAAAGACTGGCAAGGAGATTACAGGCACATGGAATAAATGGGAGAATACGGGAATGGATAAAAGACCCTGAAACATCCTAATACTAAGTTATTATAATAGAGGTTAATAGCTTAACTTCTATTATAATAGGTTACGATTAGGATATTTTAGGGCCTTTTATGTTAATGGTGCATGGATAGTTCATGATTCTCAGGTAAGTTGATAAAAGTATAGGCACAAGGAGCTCTCAATACAGTTCACATGAGACAAATGATCGGTTAATGTCTCACACACTTAATTCAGCCACCGACTTCCCATCAAATGGTTTAAATATAAGGAATTTTTTTGTATAGTTCATACACCTGAACCATATTAGGTTTGATAGCATTCCACTTCCTACCTTTATGGCAGGGATCCTTAAGCCACTGTACCATAAAACTAGGCAAACAATTTAAAATCCATTCCCAACAAGGAGTGTTAAACTGGGGGAAAATACCCTCAAGTCCAGCAGAATTACAGGACTAGTTGCTAAAGGATCTTCTAGGAGGGGAAAAGATTCTTAAGCCTGTTCACCCACTGCAAAACCTTGGGAAGAAAGCTTCCATAGAGAACTGGATTAACCTCCTCTTCCCTACATCTCCAATAACCATGTGAGCCCAACTAGGGAGATTGGGTTTATTTGGACATGTGTAGCCCCCCCAAAAAAGTTTCCTGCAAGGAGTGCCAGACCAACCAGGCTGTGGTGGGTATGTGGGCCTGCGGGCCGCTCCAAGCAACAGCCTAGTGGACCAAACTATCACAAGTCAAGCCTGGCCTCGGGTCGGGCTTGGGGAGTAGAAGAACTCCCAGAACCCCATCAAGCAGGTAGGAACCTTTAGGCACACTTCTAAATGAAAGTACTGTATGCAGGGACTATACAAGTCACCATGCAGAATAAACATGTGGGTGGCATAAACCATAATTAACAGTTTGAGTTGAGGAGTGATTGTAACACTGGTTACAATCACCCCATTGCTTAAAACAATTTTGTCACTTTTGTTACTCATTGTTGCAGACTCATACGATTCCTAAACTTACCTGTGTTCTGCTGCTCCTTTTTTGGGTTCACAATTTTTTCTACTCCCTGGTTCCCCTCCTGTGCACTACATTCCTTGGTTCCCCCTCCTGTGCACTACACTCCCTGGTTCCCCTCCTGTGCACTACACTCCCTGGTTCCTCCTGTGCACCACACTCCCTGGTTCCCCCTCCTGTGCACTACACTCCTTGGTTCCCCCTCCTGTGCACTACACTCCCTGGTTCCCCCTCCTGTGCACTACACTCCCTGGTTCCCCTCCTGTGCACTACACTCCCTGGTTCCCCTCCTGTGCACCACACTCCCTGGTTCCCCCTCCTGTGCACTACACTCCCTGGTTCCCCTCCTGTGCACTACACTCCCTGGTTCCCCTCCTGTGCACTACACTCCCTGGTTCCCCTCCTGTGCACTACACTCCCTGGTTCCCCTCCTGTGCACTACACTCCCTGGTTCCCCTCCTGTGCACTACACTCCCTGGTTCCCCCTCCTGTGCACTACACTCCCTGGTTCCCCCTCCTGTGCACCACACTCCTTGGTTCCCCCTCCTGTGCACTACACTCCTTGGGTCCCCTCCTGTGCACAACACTCCCTGGTTCCCCCTCCTGTGCACTACACTCCCTGGTTCCCCCTCCTGTGCACCACACTCCTTGGTTCCCCCTCCTGTGCACTACACTCCTTGGTTCCCCTCCTGTGCACTACACTCCTTGGTTCCCCTCCTGTGCACTACACTCCCTGGTTCCCCCTCCTGTGCACCACACTCCTTGGTTCCCCCTCCTGTGCACTACACTCCTTGGTTCCCCTCCTGTGCACTACACTCCCTGGTTCCCCCTCCTGTGCACTACACTCCTTGGTTCCCCTCCTGTGCACTACACTCCCTGGTTCCCCCTCCTGTGCACTACACTCCCTGGTTCCCCCTCCTGTGCACTACACTCCTTGGTTCCCCTCCTGTGCACTACACTTCCTGGTTCCTCCTCCTGTGCACTACACTCCCTGGTTCCCCCTCCTGTGCACTACACTCCCTGGTTCCCCCTCCTGTGCACCACACTCCCTGGTTCCCCCTCCTGTGCACTACACTCCCTGGCTCCCCTCCTGTGCACCACACTCCCTGGTTCCCCCTCCTGTGCACCACACTCCCTGGCTCCCCTCCTGTGCACCACACTCCCTGGTTCCCCCTCCTGTGCACCACACTCCCTGGTTCCCCCTCCTGTGCACTACACTCCCTGGCTCCCCTCCTGTGCACTACACTCCCTGGCTCCCCTCCTGTGCACCACACTCCCTGGTTCCCCCTCCTGTGCACTGCATTAGTCATTCCTGGTGTAAGCCTTCTCTTAACTATCTTTCATTGTGTATGAAAACAAAGAGTTTTCTTGGCTTAATTTTTATTTTTGTATTCATTTCACTTATCTCTTTCACTTCACTTTAATACATTTCCTGAGTACTTTATTCCCATCCGCACCTAAAATTGATTGACTGCTTCATCTGTGTTATATACAATTGCAATGTTTTGTTGACAATGAGCTGTGTATGGTAGAATATTAATCCTCTACAGTACAACTTACTATATGCTTCAAGGTCTCGAGTGTCTGCTTACATGCAACTATTGTGAAAACTAACAATAAGAAATTAATGTTCTACTCCATACTTACTAAAGAGATGATATTCCAACATAATGTATTACTTTCTTGAAATTCGTTTCTTAGGGTTACGGCAGCACTTGACACTGCAGCTGATGATGATGATAAGGCTTCCCTAATGTTGAATCCCTCTACAGAGAACTCAATTGATGAGAGACGGTCAGCAAATGTCTTGATAAAGCGTGGAGGTGATCTCACACCACTGGGAAAAGCCAAGCAGGCAATGGCATGCAAGAAGCTCAGAATGCTTGATGCGCAGGAAAAGATCATCACTAATTGAGTAATTCTGACAGGACCAATGACAGCCCTCACAAATACAGGAGATGTAACAATGGCAAGTGCTGCATAACAAATGGCTGATATTAAGGCAGTACAGGCCATCTGAAAGAAGAATACAAAAGTATATAACATATTATTTAAATGACGAACAAATCAGATACTTTAAAAACCAGCATTGAATGTAATGAAATGCCAATTTTTAGGCGAGCTGCTGTGACTCCAAGAATTACTATACTGATATAGTGCCAGATTACACGATGCCATTAATTGTTGAATTCTTATTTGGCCTACGGGAACCATGTGTCAGAGCCTGGCCCCCTCGGAGAGGCACAGGGAGCAGTGGCATGGTGTGAAAAACTTCATGTAAATTTATTCATGTCTGCCACCACTGAGGCAAGGCACCCAGAAAGGCAGCAAAACAAAACAGGCCATTGCTTGGTTAGAAACAAGACCACAGCCTCAAAACAGCCAAAACAACTCCCCAGTAATGTAAACAAAGGATAAACAATTTGTGAAACTTGTGCGAGCTAGTTTGTCCCATCTCCACCCTCATTTTGGGGGAGGAGGGAGAAAAATCGTGTCAGCTGGCTGCTTCATCGCCAGTTCTTATTTTGATGAAAACCAACCCCGACACCCTGGGAAAGGGAGGGTGTTAGGGAGCCACTGGGGCTTGCCCAGAAAGTGTTGTTTCATTACATTCAATGCTGGTTTTCTGGGAAAAGACCCTTGTGGCTCCCTGAGGCTAAGTATTCATGGAGAAAGAAGAAAACCAGCACATACCAAGGAGGAACCACAGCAGATATTAGACAAAGAAGCAATTTACAGCCACGAAACATGACCCCAAGGCCACACAAGGCCACTGAGAACCAGGAATGTTCACAAGATATCTGGCTGCCAAGACCCTGTTTGATCAGCAAAATCCTTGTACCCAAATCTCAGCCCAAGACACATTAGCAAAGATTACTGAACATCATACTTACAAACATCATGGGCACAAGGGTAGACTGCAGGCTGGCTCGAGTTATGTTACTGCAGATGACCTGAGAAACACAAGCCCTGGAACAGGGAACCAGGAAAATCAGATAAATCCACAAGGAGGCCACCGAAGCAGAATTGGTGATACGAAGGTAGCAGTGTAATGACGCCACTGCACACAGCACATGATACATTCCCTGCTGAACCAACCAAGCAACCACCACCAAAGGGCCCCTCCGGAAGCAAACCGATTCATTCTTCACTAGAAAAGAAGGAGCTGGTTGCAAATGAACAAAGCTCCCACCAGAGTCAAAAGAACAAACGCATCAGCGCTGAAGGTGAGCATGAAGCCCTCACCCAACAACTGGAAGCCAGATAAAGCAAACAAAATCTTTCTGAAAACAATCCTGGACCAGACGGGCCACCTTAAACCAAACGGACAAAAGAAAATAAAGAACCCAGTCCAGAGACCAGGCAGACTCAGGCAGTGCATGAGCAGGCAGGAGTGAGACAGAAACGGGGCCGAAGAGACACCGACCTCGAAAGCAAGCTGGAGCAGCTCTGCCAACACTGCAAGATAAGAGGCAACAGTATTTGGCACAAGATGCCAATCTAGGAAAAGCCAAAAAAGAAAGGACAGAATAGCCCAATCAGAAACTGAGGAACAACAACAAAGAGAGAAAGTAACAGAAGGCCTGCAAAGAGACATTATACTGTCACCATGAAACGCAGGTGGGACACCATTAAACCAGCCGCCTGATCACCATAGAGATGGTGATACACATGCGTCAAAAACTCTAGATGTTAAGAGTGGGGGAGAAGGTTGAACCAGCAAAGTATGTCATCAGTCCTACCCTCTGAAAGAGGAGGAGCCACACAAAAATGCCCGGGTTCAGACACCAAGGAAGCAGCGCTTGAAACCATGACTGGGTTGGCCACCAAGGAGCTAGAAGGATTACCCTCCCCCTGTAGGATTCTGATCATGCCAGAACCCGGAGTACCAGCCAGACCGCGAGAAAGAGTCATATACACCCCCATCTCGACCAGTCCAGCTGAAAGGTTTCTATCACTAGGGCCTCGAAGTTGGGAAATGACACCTGGTGAACAGGAAGACACAGAGACCATGCTGAAATGAAGAGATTGATGTCTGGGCACTCGAATGTCCAGCAAGGTCACATGAAAGAGGTGGCAGTAATGGTCTATTCTGTAGAGATGTGAACAAACCAGAACAGACCATTGGCCCGACCCTGATTCTGAACCACACAGAGAATCAAACCCCAAGAACCCAGCAGACAAGCTACTCGAAGAGACCATCTTCAAAAAGACGCACCAAAGGGAACCCCTTCTAGTTGAGACAATGAACCACGTAGGAACAGCCTGAATGGAGCCAGATCACAGAGCACATCAGCATAAGATCTGGTGGTTGACCAGCCAGCTGACCTGTTCTGCCACCTTCCTTCCTCCTTGCTCTAAATGAGTGAGGGGATGTGGGGCAAACTCACTCTTGCTAGTTTCACAAATTTTGTATAGTTTTTACTGTTGGAGTTCTTTTGGATGTTTTGCTGCTGCGGATTCACGTCTAACAAAGCAGTGGTCCGTTTTGTTCCACTGACTTTTTTTGGGTGCCTTTCCTTGGTGGAGGCAGCCATGAATACATCAAATTTTTCATATGTGCCACTGCTCCCTTTGCCTCTCTGAGGGGGCCAGATTCTGGCTCGTCTCCAGTAGGCCAAATAAAAACTTCGCAACTGATGACTCCTTGTAGTTTGGCACTATATTGGTATAGTAGCTTCAGGGAGCCACAAGGGGCTCCCCCCCACCCAGAAAATTATTTAAGATAACAAAATAACTGATCATTGTTGAATTGTCTGTAAATTTGTGTATACCCAGCATAATGCTCATGTAATTTATTATTATTTAATCTATATTTAGGAATATTTATCTGCAAATATTTTAATACAGATATCAAAATTCTACTTTAAATAGTTTTGCAAATGCAAAATGTATGTAAAATTTTAATGAATTACTTGAAAGGGGTGGGTGAGTTATGATAACTTAATGGTCAAGACTTCTAGAATGTGAGTATTAATAATAAAGTGGCAAATGAAACTGCTGTACCTTGATAACTCAATACCCAATCAATTATCTGAAAATTGAACACATGACAGAATAAATATCAAAATTTTAAACTTACCAGTTGGTTGTGTACTTTACCAAATAACAGGGAAAGAATGCCTTCACTACTGACTATTACACCATACAGAGATACAACAATGCATGGTAGTACATAGTATTCTGGATAGCACAAATGTTGGAAATTCTCATAGTTGGAGAAAGGAATGCTGGCACGTAATTCACGCCTAATTAGAGAAGACTCCATGAAGATGATGGCAAATATTCCAAGTGTCTGAAAAATAAAAGCCACTGTAATGGTGAAATTTATGCCCATAATTAAAAGTTTTTCTTCATTAATCTGTTGTTTATTTATGCCTAGTAAAGGTCATTAATACTTTTATATACATATCAATATATTGTATACTGTATTAAAGAAATGATCTTACTAACATAATAAAATATAGAGCATAAAATTAAATTAAAAGATCCTTTCTGGGTGGTCCTACGACTGCTTCTTAGGTCGGGTCCATACATGACACTACTTTACCAAATTTACCTGAATCTACCCGAATTTACCAAAGATCCACCATCAATTTAGTGGCCATGACAGGGAGAAGCTGGCAGCTTGTCAAAAGGTCCCTCCACTTTTTGTCACACTACGACAACAAACTTTTAAATTGCTTTGCCACATAGTTCGGGTAAGGAGATACAGTAGTAATAAATCTATCTCGATTCCCCGCATGAGTGAAATTTCATTACATTTAATGCTTCATTTATGGGAAGAACCACCTCAGTAGCTTAACAAGCTAACTTTCAACAGTGCCTCTTCAGAGTAGAATGGCTTTTCAGAACAGGAAATACATGTTAGTATAACAAAAAAGGTGTGAATGATAGCTGTGAAATGACTGCAGGAGAGCAGAGTTAAAGGAAAAGGAGCGACAGTAGCATGCAAAATACAGTCGTAGCAGAGGATCGGCTAGCTACAATATATAAAAAAAAGCAAAGACATGGACCAAAAAACAAATAACGCAGCCAAGGCAGCAAAGGGCACCAGCCAAACAAAATAAGAGTGAACACTAGAACAAATCCTGTATCAGACATTCCAGCAAAAACCGAGCAGAAGAGTGGAGTAGACACTAGAGTCTGATTGTGATACTAGAGGGAAGGGGATGAACCACCCAACTTCAAGCCAACTGGTAGGCCCAGGCTCAGAAAACTGGGCTAGCCATCCCCACATCACACCATCAAACGCTAGTGCCACAAATGAGCCAGTGGACGGAACCATGTCGAGCATCCCCGCATGAGGCATGAGACCACTGCTACCGAGAAACCACAGATAGAACTAGCAAACTTCTGAACCTGAGAAAATTCTTCTGACAAAGAGCCTCATAAAAGTCTGCCACCACATCACTGAGGAGCATAGCGAGCAACTTAGGAAGGACCCAAAGCAGCAACATCAGAGACAGATGCTAGTGTGTCCAAGCCTATTTGTAGCTGACCAGCATAGAGCTTTTCTACAGCCCAGTGGCAAAAGACAAATGTCAAGTGAAGGCTCGCTCTGAGGAATAGAAAGCTGTAGTAAACTGATATACAGTTACCACGTCCTAACATTACATGGCAAACAAAGTGACAATCCAAGCCTTAAATACCTCGCCCCCCCCAAGTAACTTAAAAAAACAACCAAACCCCATGCCAGTACACTGACTGTGTATAGCAGAAAATGTGCCAAGCCATCAAAGAAGAGGAAGGACTGTCCACCAGTCAGGAAGAATCCGAGACCTCAAATTGTAAAAAAACCAGCGTTGAATGTAATGAAACGCCATTTTCTGGGTGAGACCCGGAGGCTCCCCGGAGCTTTACCGGCTGATATGCTAATGTCAGACTTTGGCATCAGTCATGTGTATGGAGTTCTAGGGCCTACCGGGGACCACGAGCCAGAACCTGGCCCCCTCAGAGAGGCAAGGGGAGCAATGGCCTATAGAAACCCCCGTGTGGTTGGAAGCATTCTATGTCTGCCATCGACCGGGTCAAGCATCCAGAAAGGTAAGCATTCCAAAACAAACCCCTATTCTGGTGAAAATTGCTACCTAAGCCGAACTAGTGAATAGAACTCTTCAACAGAAAACACGGAAACTAGTATGACGTCATACGTCACCGCGCCGCTGTCTGCGCAGCTCCCCCCTCCCCGGGAGGGGGAAGGGGGAGCCCCAGACCTCCCACGCCGGCTATCCACCCATCAGTTCTGAGGCTGGATGTCAAAACACGCGAAAAACGCCGACCGGAGGGAGGGAGGGTTGCCGGGGAGCCTCCGGGTCTCACCCAGAAAATGGCGTTTCATTACATTCAACGCTGGTTTTCTGGGGGGAGCCCCGTCGGCTCCCCGGAGCTAACTACCCACAGAGGAAGGTCAAAGGGACAAAACCGGGAGGCGGACACCACGCACCCCCCAAGGAGGCGAGACAACCGGCAGCAAACGCCAACCCAAGGCGCCACAGCCCCGAAAATCCCGGGAACAACACGAGAACCACGAGCAGCAAGGCCCCTGCACGAACACCAAAAATCCATGCCCGAAAGACTGCAAGGCCACGTCGCCCAGACGGCAGCGAGAGCAGCGAAGCCACGAACGCCACAGGCATAAGGGAAGAACACAGGCAGCTTAGCCACAAGAACACGGCTGACCACCCGGGACACCATCACCCGCGAACCGGGAAGAACAGAACCGGATCAACGCAAAACGCGCTCCGGACCCAAACGCCGTGGCACGCAAACAACAGCAGAGGGCCGCCACTGAACACAAAAACGACACACCCCCGGCCCGACCAACAAAGCACCAACAAACCCTGGACCCCTCCAGAATGCAGCAGCCCCACCCCGCGCCAGAAAAGATGGAGACTGCTGCCATCAAACAACCAAAACGCTAAAACCGAAGGAGCAAGAAAACACAGCGAACCGACCCCCAGAGGCAAAGGCCCAAAGGAAAGAGCCGACGAAAAAACACACCGGAACCGAAGGGGCACTACCAACCGAGGAGAAGACAGAGCACGCTGACCAGAGACCAGGATGGTGCAAGCGGCGCACGAACAGGCCGGAGGTGAAATGACGCACAAGACAGCTGACTAACGGTGCAGAAGCAACACCAAGACCGAAAGCAAGCTGAAGCGGCTCCGCCTGCGCCGCACGAAAAGAGGCGACAGTATGTGGCAAGACGACGGCCCCCAACCCCCACTAGAAAACCAAGCCGAGAGTAAACCAAGCCAACAAGAAGGACCCACCGAAGAAGGGACAGGAAAAGGAAGGACCGCCAAAATACCCCATACTGCCGCCAAGAAGCACGCAGGTGGGACACCTACCACGAAGCCACCCGACCACCAACCGGAGGCGAGACCACGAGGCAGAACATAAGCAGCCCCGACAAGGCCCCCCCGAGCCCAGGAAAAAGGCGGAGCCGCGAGAAGATCTCGGGCGCGACCACCGAAACCCAGGCGGCACAAGGAGATGGAACGTCTGCCGAACAGAAAAACTCCGAAGCATGCAAGCCCGCCAGGAGTTCAGAAACGACGGGTCCGACGCGAGACATCGCAAGAACCCCCCCAAAAAAAATAAAACAACAACAACAACCGGCAGGGCAAGCTAGGAAAACCAAAGAAGGCGGAAGGGTCGCCGCCAGAACAGGACCCGAACCAAGGGGCCCGAACAACTGCAACAGACCGAAACAAAGAAGCACATCACAGGACACAGGCTGACCAACGCCTAAGAACACACGCAGAACATTCCTGCTGCAGAAGAGGCAGGAAGAAAGAGCAGAAGCACAAAAAAAAAAAAAAACCAGGAGAACAACCAGGGGTGGACAATCAGGCAGGGACAAAAACCCCACGCAATCCCCAGGCACAAAACGGCAGCAAAGCGCCACTCCACAACCGGACACAGGAACAAGGACACGCCACCGTGAAACACGGTACCAATGCTCACGTGCAGCAGCAGCAGCAACAGGCACCACTGCAACATGCAACATGTAAATAGCAACTCCCCTCTGCAAAGGCAGAGAACGGAGCAGGCAGACCCCAGACAGGGCCAACGGAGACACGACAAAACCCTGCAGGCCCAGAAACCTGCACCAGGCGACCGACGGCGGAGAAACCCCGCTCGATACCTGCTGGATGAGGTACTGGGAGCTCTTTTACACCTCAAGCCCGGCCCAAGGTCAGGCCAGACCGGCCAGAGGATGGCCCACCAGGCAGCTGCTAGGAGCAGTCCACCGGCCCACATACCCCCACAACCAGGACGGGCCGGAACTGCCATACGAAAACAGGCCAGTGCGCCCTGGAAGTCCACGGACGAACCAGCAAGAAGGCTTATGCTCGCAAGTAGGTCGTGTAACAAGCACAGACCACTGATGGTAATACAGTGTTCCCCAAAAGTGCCAATAGCACCACTGCACTCCACTGGTACTATCCCGCAAGTTCTACCAGATAGGCGGGACCCAAGAGCCAGAGCTCAAATCCTGCAAGCACAGCCAGGAGCCTCACCAGGTGAGTACAGAACCAACCCTACAACCCCCACACCTCACAACATTAAAAAAGGAGGGTCCCCTGAACGACTGTAGCATGGGTTGGACATGCACAGGAGGGGGACAGGAAGGGGTGATAAAGGGACAGTCACTGGTGTGCGAACGGTCTCAGTCGTACAAAATTATACCTAAATAAAGACAGGTATATGAACACCGCCGCATCCAGCGCCCGGCCAAAAGACGCCAGACCGCAGAAACTCACCTGGCGAATGGTGGCTCGAACTTGACACGACTCAACCGTGCCCAGAAGAACTTGGGAGCACCGCCAGGTGAAGACGCCAGAGCCGGACCCGCAGGAGAACAGGGAGAGGCGAAGGAGGCGGTCCACACCCATGACACAGAAAACCGCGGTGTCCTCCCCACAACTGGGAACCAGGACACCCCTGGCGCAAAGGGGCACATACCGCAGCCAGGGAGAAGAACGAGAGGCGAAGCACTGTAGCAAAAAAGGGCGCAAAACCCCAGCACTGAACCATCGCCCAGACCAAAACAAACTCCACGGCGCATGCGCATAACACGCTGGCCGAACCGCACACCCTCCCTGCGGGAAGGCGCCAGCCAGGACTATTGCACGAGAAAAAGAGCCAAAAGAGGAAGCAGGAACAAGAAAACCGGCCAAAGAAGCAAAGAGCCCAAAAAAAGGGAACCCAAACGGGCGACAAGTAGCCCAAACGGGCGACAAGTAGCCCAAACGGCCGACAAGTAGCCCAACCGGGCGACAAGTAGCCCAACCGGGCGACAAGTAGCCCAACAGGGCGACAAGTAGCCCAACAGGGCGACAAGTAGCCCAACAGGGCGACAAGTAGCCCAACAGGGCGACAAGTAGCCCAACAGGGCGACAAGTACTAGGAGCCGACAGACGTTCCAATAATGCGGGAAGTAGCGAAAAACCTTCCCGTACCCTCGAGAACACAGAAGCCAACACTAGTCCCGAAGGCACACGAAGGCGCAGGCGCACCCGAGATCAAAAGTCACGCAGAACCCCATCGAACGGGGAAACATGACAAAAACACCGTCCCAAAAAGCGGGGGAGGAAACATCCACCCACAGGACGGAACCAACCGACTCAAAGGCCAAGGAACCGAGCCCGGGGAGGGGCCGACGTCCAACAGCACGTACGGCGAGTGGGGAGGAAAAACCCCACTCCGCGTAACCACAAGCCCCGCCTAGAGGGGGATAAAACCCCCCACGGGGTCTAACGGGGCCAAGGCCCCCCAAGTCAGCCCCTCCCCAGCCCCGGGAACCTACACGACAGGCCCCGGGGCCGAGCCGTTCCCCCAAAGCCCCGGCCGTACCAGAAAACCGGGGCAGCCGTGAAAACACTAAGGAAGGGAGCCCACTGGCAGACTCATACAACACGGCTGGAGGAACAGGCCCAAATGCCCCCGTCACTACCCCGGAAGGGGAATTCCCCGAGACTGCCCGAGTCTCAACACCACCAAACACCCCGCCCTGAACCTACAGACGGTAAGGAACCGGATGCAGGCAGGAAGGGTGAACCAGGGGAAAAACGAAATACAACGGGGCAGCCCCGGGGCTCCCGGGGAGGAAACCACGAGAACGTTGCCACCACCAAGGCTCAAGTGCAACGCCCCTGCTGCCCGCACCCGCTTTGTTAGCACAACTGGGTAACCGAGCCACAACGAGCAACCAAACTCGCAGGACACCGGGTCGAAGGTGTCACCGACCCCACAGGCAGCAGACGGAGGCAAAACAGAGAGTCACCCAGAGACAAAAGGTGAGAGCAACCCTCAAACTCGCTGGAAGCGAGGGGGGGGCTCTGGGGTCACATCCATCGGACCCGCGCGCCCCCAGGGGTTTCCCAGGGTCCCGAGCGTTTACTTTAAGAGGACTCGCGCTCAGGTAATCCCAGGCAGGGTACTGCTAACCGGCACCCAAGCTACCAAACAACTTTCTAAGAGCTGAACCCCCGGGACGTGTACACTCACGGGGACCTAGCAGGGGGTACCACCAGAAATACTCAGAACACAAGGGACACAAGGGGCAAGAACGAAGGCAGACCCCCCCACCAGGTATATAAACAAAAGAAAAAGAAAACCCCGCAAGAGGACAGCGTACCCAAGCGGAACAGAGCCGGCCGCTATGATTGGTAAAGACAAGCTGCACAGTACCCCGCGCCCCACCAGTGCAAACACTGCCCCTTACTCTAAGGCGAACAAGGGAGACAGAACACCCGAGCACACAAAGAGCGGCCGAAAACCAAGCGGTAAACGGCCAAGCAGGGGCAGGACCCAAGGAACTTGTGGAAGGTGGCCCCAAGCCCCAAGGGCAGTACTTACAGGGCACCTAGGGAAGGGAACCCTAGGCGCATGCAGCCCGAGTACTGAAGAATCACACCCGGCTCACGCACCACCTAGAAAACAGACACCACACTCTAGGTACAGTGCTGAAACAACCACTGGAGCCGGAGCACATAACCATTGCCTATAGCATCAGCCGAAGAACTGATGGGTGGATAGCCGGCGTGGGAGGTCTGGGGCTCCCCCTTCCCCCTCCCGGGGAGGGGGGAGCTGCGCAGACAGCGGCGCGGTGACGTATGACGTCATACTAGTTTCCGTGTTTTCTGTTGAAGAGTTCTATTCACTAGTTCGGCTTAGGTAGCAATTTTCACCAGAATAGGGGTTTGTTTTGGAATGCTTACCTTTCTGGATGCTTGACCCGGTCGATGGCAGACATAGAATGCTTCCAACCACACGGGGGTTTCTATAGGCCATTGCTCCCCTTGCCTCTCTGAGGGGGCCAGGTTCTGGCTCGTGGTCCCCGGTAGGCCCTAGAACTCCATACACATGACTGATGCCAAAGTCTGACATTAGCATATCAGCCGGTAAAGCTCCGGGGAGCCGACGGGGCTCCCCCCAGAAAAGTTCTAAAACCAGCCACCAGGGCGGTCACTTGTTCCAATAACAATAGTAACCTTCCTTGCATCATCACACCTAAGTGTCTAGGTTTCAAGCAAATAATGTATGGTGTTCCTACCACAAATATCTAAAAAAAATATACATAATATCTAGGAATATACTCACCACTCTTGATGCAAGTACAGGTATTTCAGCAGTGAAGAAATGAGTGAAGTATACATTTGGCCAGCCTGCCCTCTGCCTGTACAACTCCCACATGGCAAGAATAATCTGTAAGAAATGTTAACTCACTAATGTGGAAATAAACATTCTGACACATTTAAAAACTATTTTTATTTACAATTAATATTCGAGGAACTATGTAATTATTGTTTTATTCCAAAATATTATAAAAGTTAATTATTTACTAATTAGATACTGATTTAATTGTCAAAGGGTAACAGAGATATTCTCTGTATCATGAGACACAATCATATTTAATAATTTGTAAGCATATTGTAATCAGGACACTTTTACTCCAAGTTTGAGCCTAGTCTCAGAGATTCTCAATAAGAATTCATAAGGAAAATATCAAATTCTTTTAAATACCCAAATTCCATTTCAGGCATTTAGATCACAAGAAATGTGTACACAAAAGTTGGAAATGAAGAAAATCAATTTGACAATAACATATTGGGGTGATAGAGTAGCAACAAAAGCAAAGGAAAAATTTAAGCTGATGCACACTCACATCAGGAGGAAAACATTGGAGAGCATATGCATAAGTTAAAAAGATGGGGAGGGGGGGGGGGGGAGTAATAACAGATAATAACAAAGAGAATACAGTATTGAGAACAATAGGTTCTAAATGGTATATAAAACAAAGCCAGAGCAGACTCATCTCTGTCATCTGCATCACTGAGATGCTTGTGATCAGAGTATGCTTGTGTAACGTGTCATCTCCCACAACCAATTGTGAGAGATGACATACACAAGCAACATTAGACTGGACAATATAGCACTTGCATGAATATAAGCTGCCTCGATTCAGGGCAGGTTTTGGTCATATTTCTGCAATAATGCATGATTTCTAGATCAGTGACAACCTGAAATTGAATCACCACATGAAATCCCAACTTTTATATTATATTCAAATTCAAATATACTGAAAAAAATACATTTGTGGCTGACTATTAATAAACTCACCCTCGACATTGAAAAAACACATTACATATTCCTTGGAAACAAGACAACCAATCAAATTAAACTAAGAATTAATACTATCCAAATTGAGTGCAGAGTAAATGGGTCCTTGGTGCTTACATTGACAATAAACTGAATTTTAATTGAAATAAACTATAAAAAGAGTTTCTAAAACTGTAAGCATTGTATCTAAAATCCAATACAGTACTGAATACTTAGCTCTGAGATGATAACACAATATTATTCATTCAATCTATCCACATATGTATAGTAGCGTCTTGACTGGGCTTGAAATCGGTCTCTGGCGAGTCTTTCTGGGTTGTGTTGCACTGCAAACTTTCCAGGATTGCATTAGCAGGTTATATTTTAGGGCTGGTGGCCTCTGGTTGTTTTTCTTCTGTCCTTGGCAAGTCTCTTCTGTGTAATCAGATTTTATGTTTTCTAGTTTGTTTCTTTTTCAAAATAGCTGGCCTCCTCTACTAAGGAGTCATTGTTAAATAGCTTCAGGGAGCTGTTGAAGAGACCATGCAAGAAATCAAACTGTGTATGTATTAAAAGGCCTACTTCTGGTGAGGCACAATGAATCTCCTCATTCTGTTCTCTTGACCCTCATGGGAGTCAAGGGATTTTTTTCTTTGAGGAACTCATAAATGAGGTGGCTTGCTAACCACCTCACCTGGGTTGCCATCTGGTGGGGATTTCCCTGTGGTAATAATTATTTGCATTGCTTTCATCAGGGTTACAATTTCTTTCAAGCATTTATTTATTCTGTGGTACTTTTACTCCATTATTTGTTTGTCTTAATATGCTGAAACATGCATTATATCCCTTGCTACAAGAAAAATAAAGGCATTTCTATAATAAATGAGTAAAAAGCCAGTGTTGAATGTAATGAAACGCCATTTTCTGGGTGAGCCCCGGAAGCTTCCTGGAGCTATCAGGCTAATGTGCGATATATTAGACTGGGGTTATTAGTTTATGGAGTTCAGCCTACCGGGGACCAAGCACCAGAACCTGGCCCCCCCACCCCCTCAGGGAGGTTGCAGGGAGCAGTGGCCCTGGAAAACCCCACCTTGGTTCAGGGTTTTCCTTATCTGCCATCGACCGAAGTTAGGTACCCAGCAAGGTACGAATAACAAAACAAACCAAACCTACCCTTCTTTGTACAAGGGAGGGGTATATGCTGAGCAGCGAAAACCCCTACGGAAATGGTTTTCCGAATGCACCAGAGAAGGAAACCATAACACGCAAGGGCAGTACTCAAAGGGCGCCTAGGGAAGGATGCCCCTAAGTGCATGCAGCCATGGCACTGATGAGGACACCTGGCCACCACACACAACAACACTGTAAAGGTAACCATGAAGGCAAAACCCCGCCTGTGCAAATCGAGGCCAGAGAAGACGTCTCCCCCGGACCACATTAATTAACGAACTGGAGTGCTGGGTAGCCAGCATGGGGAGGGGGAGGGCTGTGCAGACGAGTGGTGCATCAGTGGAGTGTGACGTTTGCTTGTTTCCTTGGGATTGGAAGGAGTTGTACCTCTCTGTTCGGTTTTCTTTGTACTTTTCTTACCATGTGGGGTTTGTTTTGTTATGCCTACCTTTCTAGGTGCCTAACCCCAGTCAATGGCAGATATGGAAAAACCTCCAACCACAGGGAAGTTTTCCAGGGTCATTGCTTCCTGCAACTTCTCCAGAGCGGGCCAGGTTCTGGCTCGTGGTCCCCGGTAGGTCGAACTCCATAGACTAATGCCCCGGTGTAATATATCACACATTAGCCCGATAACTCCAGGAAGCCAAAGGGGCTTCCCCACAGCAACCCTATTGGTCTGAATGATATGATCTGGATTTTTGAGGGAGTACAGTACTCTAATTCATGATTTTTTACATTTATTACATTACATAAGAATTAAAAACTTTAAATTCTAACCTAAAAATAAATTACCAAACAAATAATTACAAAACAATAACAATACCTGTATGGTAACCATAAGGAGCATCCCACCTTGAATGCCAATCACCCACCCAAAAGTTGAATAGAAAATGTCATCTGGTTTCCAGTCAATGGTCTGATACATTATTGCAGTCAATAGGATCAAAATCCACAGTCCCAGAGAGCTATGAAGACCCTGAAAGAATAAAATTTGTATTTATATAAATCAGATACAATTTCTTTGTACAGTATCACAAATTATAAAACATTTGGCAAAAAAACAGCACTGAATGTAATGAAATGCCATTTTCTGGGTTGAACCCCGGAGGCTCCCTGAAGCTATTGGACTGATATCCACCATATTAGATATCTAAATATTCCCCAAAACCAAAATGGGGCATCCGAGCAGACAACAAACTGGGCACGTTGCAACAACAAAAACCTACCATGCAACGCAGCCGCTGCCTGGCCCCTAAGGTCTTCCGAAAAATAATGGGTTAGGTGGATGACGAGCGGTTTAATAAGTCCTGCACAACTCCGGGTTGTAGGTGTCACCGACCCAACAAGTAGCATGACAGAGGCAGAACTCGCACAAAGTGAGTGGGGACTCGGAAGACATAGCCATAGCCGCACCAAGCCCCAAGGGGTTTACCAGGCCCCGCAGGAGGAGAAATCCTGATGTGGAACCCAGGCACTAGTATAGCTAAAGCCGGTTGAACCCCATCTAATACTGAGCAAACTGATCCCAGGAAACCGTGCATGCAACCGCGAGGGGCTACCAAACACAACCTAGGCGAACCTGGTTACCTGGTTGATACCTGGTTGATGGGGTTCTGGGAGTTCTTCTACACTCCAAGCCCGGCCCGGGGCCAGGCTTGACTTGTGAGAGTTTGGTCCACCAGGCTGTTGTTTGGAGCGGCCCACATACCCACCAGATCCCGGTTGGTCCGGCACTCCAAATCAGAGTGAACCTAATCAGAAGTTAGGAAGACCTCCTCTAGGATATGAAAGAAAAACCCGAAACCCTCGAAAATACACCACAAGCAACCAGAAGCCAGAGAGAGACATGGCCGCCATGATTATGCAAGCTGCACAAAATACCGTGCACCCCAGTCAACAAAAACATCTCCCTACCCATGGCCAGAGGGAGAGCCCCACGACCCCCGCTGAACCCCAAGGGCGAGGTTAATGACAAGTGACACCAACCTCAATGAGAGTGGAATCCCAAACGTCCCAGAGAAGAAAACCCTGAACACGCAAGGGCAGTACCTACCAGGTGCCTAGGGAAGGGAACCCTAGATGCATGTAGCCCCAGTACTTATTAGAACACCTGGCCACTGCACAAAAATTACACAGCCAGCACAACCACACAGGGTAACATCCAGCAGGAAAAGTAAGGCCAGAGATAATGTCTACTCTATGCTGCATCAGCTTACGAACTGCCGGCGTCAGGACTTGGGCGGGGCCCCCCTCCCTGGGGAGAGGGGATCGCTAACAAGCGGACGTGCTGGTTGAGTGGACATTTCCTTTTTTATTGTTTTCTCTTGGGGATGGAGTTATTAGCCCCTGTTCAATCTTGGGTTGCAATGTTTGGGCTGCCAGGCAGTCCCCCAGTTAGTTTCTGAGCTCAGGTCTTCGAACTGTGCAGGCTGGGATGGCTTTCTTTTCAGCATTCCAAGGTTCCTGACTGTGGCATTTATGTCTTGCAGGCTTCTGGGCTTTGTTTCAGTGTTGTGAGGAACTTACTTCATCTATTGTTAGGCCTGTGTTTCTATCCTGGATCTCTGAGTCAGGTTGGACAGCCTCTTCTTCTGGGGCTCAGTGATGATGTAGCATCAGGAAGCTAATGCAGCCTCCCAGAAATATAGTATTGAATGTAACGAAACACTTTCTGGTGGGCACTCAGTAGCTCACTGTTCTCATCCTGTTCCCTTCCTTTCCATGAATTTGGCATTTTCCTCAAAGCTTGCATATAAAGTACACCTGAAACTACCTTAAACCAAATTAGAAAGTCTCTTTGGTGAAAATCAGAATACAGGATATTTAAATCACTAATTTGGTATAACTAGCAATGATATGATTGCCAGTTACTTATATACTGTAGCAGTTAGTCATTAAAGAGTATAATTATCCAACTAAAATTAATTAAAGGTACACTTACAACTGTTGTTGCAAAGATTTTCCTCGAGCATATTCCACCCAGAAACAAAACTGCAGAAATCAAAACAGCAACACCACATGGCATTATTAAATATAGCCTTGGATCCTCATAATAATTTGCATAACAACTGCTGTTAGCTTTAACATAATGTTGATCATCTTGAGGTGGTTGATTCAGACGGTTGAAGTTCCTGGAAATATTTTGTATATTTGAATTACAGTACATACTAAAGTGAAAAATATACTTTAATAGTATAACAATAACAAAAATTAAGCATTGAATGTAATGAAATGTCCATATTTGATGGGCCACTCAGTAGCTTTACAAGCTACGGTTACTGTGATCCTGGATACCCAGATTACAGCACTGTTCTTTAGTAGGTGCTTGTAAATAAATAGAGCCTTGTGTGGTACTGAAGGTTTGACAGGCAATAATGTGGGAAGCTCAGGGAGCTACCAATGGGGACCCTACCCAGAGGAGACAAATTAATTTAGTGGAGGAACTACTCGGTGGCTCCCTGTAGCTAGCCACTCTGGCTAGCTCAACACCCCGAGTCACACCAGGAACTGACGAGTCAAAAACAAAGGCCTTCCGAGGACCAGATGCCAAAATCAAGTACCCCTATTGCAGTGAAGAGAGAATGATCAAGGAACAACCACCATAAAGGTAGAGCAAAGTAAAACAAAAAGGGAAATGGAAACAACTCAGAAATGATACACCCAGTAGTTAAGTTGTTTACCCTAGAGTAGCAGCTCCCTGTCACCAGTTGGCAGCACCAGGGAGCTACCAGATTAAAAAAAAAGTCAAGATCCAATCAACAGCAAACCAATTCAAAGAGGGGAAAAGGAAGGGTCCAGGGAGTTACCAAGGTCTCCCAAAAAAGGTGCATTTCATTACATTGTGCTGGTTTTCTGGAGGGATCCCACTCAGTGGCTCCCTGTAGCTACATCACCACAGAGAAGAAAAGAAAAGGGGAAGGGAAAAGTAGAGCAGAAACCCACACCCCCCAAAGAGAAAGAGTCAAGTATGAGGAACCCGACCCAAAGCCACACAAGATCGACGGGGCCCTGGAGCATTAACCAGGTAATGAGCCGCCAAAACTGTTAGATCACCAAAACCTCCAAGATCAAATGTCAACCAGTCCTATGTGCAAACACAGAGGACAAAGCCACAAACTCATGCACAACATGGACCACAAGCTGGTCAGACTTGGACAAGACTGCAGACAACCTAAGACAACCAAGCCTTGGAGCATTTAATGAAGGACACTGAGGCAACCAACAGCATGTCACCTGGAGCAGCCCATGTGATGTACAAATAATGATGGACAGCTGCAACCGGACATAGTAAATGAAGCACCTGCAACTGACTGAACTAAGAATCAATAACCAATGGACCCCCTTAAGAAGCCAGCTATCGCATACTAAACCAGAAAAGAAGGAAGTGGCAGATGAAGAAACTATCCTCCCAGGACCAAATGAACAGAGCCCATGCTAAGTACAGCAGGAAACTCCCAAACCCAACAACTAGAACTGAGGAACAACAAAAAACAGGGCTATAAAAATATTACAGACCAAAGGGGGTAATTACCTAAGTGTAGTTACAGGATGAGAGCAATCCTTTTATTTCATTTATTTTTTCTCATTAATTTTTCTACATTAATAAAAATTTAAAATATGAAATGTTCACACATGATCGGTCTACATAACTGTAAAAAGAAATTAAACTTAACTTTGATACTTTTCCATCTGGTAATTTCCAAAGCCAAGAGATAACATGCACAAGCAAAGCAATTGTCGTTTCAAGTGATTGGTTGGATGACTGAAGTTATCTCTGGTTGCTGGCCTGATACTTTTGTTGGTCCCTCTAATAATCTTTGCCCAAAGTTGCTCATGTATTATAAGTTTCATCATAAAATTCAAATTTAATAGTTAAACTACCAATTTGTAAAAAGCCGAGTTTGGATGAACATTTATTGTCAAATTGTGGATGACACATTTTAGCATCACCGGAACAGTAATGTTAAGGGGGCCTGATTCTGGAAATGGTCTCCAGTAGGCACTTGCTGACTTGTTAAGAGCCCAGTGTTGTACCTAGGTATGGAGCATTTCAGGTGGATAGTGCAAGAAGATACAGAAGGGCTCCTCCTAGAAAACTAGATTTTGTCTACATTTACTGATTCTTACTGGTGTGTCTTCCTTTCACCCTGACTAAGTATATATGCTGCTCAACCAACCAATACAATATTTTGTAATTACTGTACCTAAGTGTAATTACAAAATATTGTATTGGTTGGTTAAGCAGCATATACCCTTAGTCAGGATGGAAGGAAGACACAATTACCAATAAGAATCAGTTATATGTGTAATTATTAAATTAGTTATAAATTATATTATAATTTATAACTAATTTGTAATTATATAATATAATAAGATTATATTATATATTATATAATTATAATAATAATATAATTATAATCTAATAATTTGTAATTATAAATCAGTTATAACAATTACCAATAAGATTACCAATAAGAATTGCGACAATATTCTCACAAAAACTTAATACAATGGCATATATTTATTTACTTCAACCTAATTTACTCAAATTTCACTGGAAGATAAACAAATGACCATGGAAATTTAAATGACCCTTTCCTGCTACAGAACCATATATATACAGTATTATATATATATTCCCCATGTTACAATACCATTGTTTCAGAACTGCTGTGGTTGTATTTGGTGGATTTGGAGGATTCTGCATGTTCTTCCATGTGCTTTCAATTGATTTCCATATTCCAAAGCCACCAATAATCTGAAAATAAATTTGAATGATTAACAAAAATTTTAATTTACCATTGTTGAAATGATTCGTCTTAGCTATTATATTTGTGTGCAATTGCATGGAACCAAGCATTTCACTGTTGTAAGAGGTACACCTGCATGAGAAATATATATCATAACTGTGTTTGCAGAGAGCAAATTACAGCTCCCAAGGCCCACCTCAGAACCACATATCAACCTGTATGACACTTCTCTATCCATGAACTTTTGCAGTATTTTGGCCTCATATAAGGCATTATAATTACAAAACTCAGTACAGTATACTGTATATGGTGAAAAAAGGTGTTTGATACAGCTAATAGTAAACATATAAATTCCATTTTCTCCAAATTCACTGATAATTTCTCTACAAATCAGTACTTCTAATTCAGGGTCAGGAGCTTTTAACACTGATGATGCCACAATTGGAACAAGGGCTGCCGGACTGTATATTCAACCCATCCTCTCAACTAATAGGTAGCATTTTTGATGTTATCATAACCAACATTACAAATGCAACGTACTAAGTAACGGTTCACAAACATTCATGTTTTCTATGCATCGGACTTGATAGGTTAGGTGGGTTGATTGAGTTCGGATGTTTCTGGTTAGGCTAAAAAGTTGAATTTTTTTTATGGAGTGGCAAATCAAGAGAATGAGCTTGGTGCATCAACATAACTGGCAATGAAGTTCTCTAGAACTAAGGCATAAGAAGATAGGGAAGCTAGTAATCACATGATCTGAGAGAAAACTTGACATGAGTATGAACACCACTTAGCAGTCCAAAATGTAATAGAGGAAAATTAGGAGAAGAACTATAGAAGAGAAGAGAATGTTTAAGAATAACCGCAAGTTAACGGCAGTAGAAGAGGAAGATAAAGAAAAATCAATTGACTGATAAAAAGAGTTATGTAGTGACTTTGGAAATCACTTGGAAACAGAACCAGAAAAAACCATCAGAAATGCAGTTAAAAGTTTGGAGGTAAAGGTAATAAAATTACCAGTGTTGGCGATCATTAGAACCAAGCAGAAGGTGAAACACAAAATGGCAGGGGTTGGAGGAGGAGAAATAATAATATGATGTAATAATAATAATAATAATAATAATAATAATAATAATAAAATCCACCAGGGCTGTCAGGAGGTGTGAACCTTCTACCCCGGCATTGCCAGCCACGTACTCAACCACTGCGACTGGCAATGCTGGGGTCGTAGGTTCGCGCCACCTCACAGCCCTGGTGGATTTTCTCATTGGTATATACAGTATAACGTTAGTGTAATTTCTGTGTTGTTAATAATAATAATAATAATAATAATAATAATAATAATAATAATAATAATAATAATAATAATAATAATAATAATATAGGATAAAAACTGACACTTGTGCATTTGTGAAATTTATGTAAGGAATTTACACCAAGTCTTTCGCACTCTCCCGAGTGCTTTGTCAAGATCTGAGTGTGTGATTAGGATGAGACTTACATTTCAATGTCTGATGAGGCTATCCTGGGTCCAGGATAGCAGCCTATCCTAGATTTTCAAGATAGCAGATTCAGATAGCAAACTTTCCTGGTAAAGCTATCAATTTAGCTTTACTATGAAATGATTGAGTGAATTAAAATTAGATAATAAATTCATAAATGGATGAATGATAGCAGTCCCATTAGCTGCATTCCTTGGGGTATGGAGAGGGTTACGAGGGATAGCATCCAGATGAACACCTCTATAATAACAATTCCAGTTCCCAAAATAGCAGGATTACAGAAAGAACACATGACCATAATTCCGTAGAAGACATTATGGCCGATACATAAGCAATCGGGAATAGGGTGACATGGTCAGGAGGTCAAGAAGGATAAGAGGACTGGACCCCAGGATAGCAGCCTCATTAGACGTCGAGATGTAAGTCTCGTCCTAATCACACACTCAGACCGTGACAAAGCAATCAGGAGAGTGTAAAAGACGGTATAAATTCCTTATACAGTATACATTTCATAAATACACAAGTGTGGGTTTTTGTCCTATGTTATTTTGTCTGTGAGAAGACATTACCATTACTTAATGTCTCATTACTTATGATGCTCATTCAAATAAATTTGCCCAAAACACTATGCATGCTAGCAGCTTTACAAGAATGTCAAAATTCAACTCTCTGTACTCTCATAAACCCAATGTACCTTCTTGTATATAAATAAATAAATAAATTAAACTGATCCTTGTAAAGGAAACCCCAGTTGGGATACATCCTTGCCCAAGCAATGTACATATAATTCACTGTCACTATAAGTTACTGAAAAAGTAATACTCACAAGCAGGACACCATAAGTAAGCAATAATACCCATGCAACACGGGTATTCATGATGGCTAGTATTCTCAGTCACCTGCAACACAAAAAATATTCACTGAGTTCTAAGATAAATAAGGCAAACTTTATATTACTGTAATTTGTTTCAGAAATTGGTTAACATTTAATGGCTCAGGGCGAGAAGCCTGGGCTAATAGTATTTTAATGATGGCCCTCATTAATTCCCCGGACACTTACAGTGAGCTGGCTGGTGGCTGGCTCCACTTGATGAGACAGCTGGGTTGAGGCAGGTCATACTTAAGGCAGCCTGGCTGGTGGCAGAGTCTGTCTGGTAAGATTGATGGGCCAAGGTGGAACAGAGGAATTCCTGGCTGCTCTGTGGTGATACTGCTGATGATTACTTGGCGACATTCGTGGGATCTAATGTACCCATCCGCCAGTGTGGCATTGACCAATGCTGCTAGCTGATCAGTAGAGATGCAATGACTGGTCCCAGGCAATGTGGTGATGCAGGCATGAGTATTGCTTACACTTATCAAGATCCCCCTAGGCTATCCACAAACTTTCCCCCAGGATCTATCCCACAAAAGTTGTTTGACTCCCAGCTACCCATTTACTGCTAGGTAAAAAGAGGGTTCAGATGAAAGGAAATGTTACCCAAATGCTTCTGTCTGGCATGAGAACCTGTGTTGTGACCTGTGTTGATCACTGAGCCACAGGACCCTATAGATTTTGTATGAGAATTTATCAAATACAACTATGGATATTATGTTATACCTCTTTTCATTGCAATACTATTAGGCAATACTCCTAGAATAGCATAACTAGTTTCCAAGTGTTCAACCCAGTGAGTGTCTGGACACTGGCACTGCAGGTGCTGGATATCAGCACCACGCCCCCCAGTGTTCAGCGTCATTTCTTAAGTACCACTGCACGTTAAGATATGGTATTACTAGTCATGCCTGCAGGATTTGTCAGTGCTCGTTAGTGGCGCTTTAACAATGTCTCTGACATTTTTTTCAGCCCCTTACCATGCAATTACCTAAGTGTAATTACAGGATGAGAGCTACGCTCTTGTTGAACCCAGTACTCTATCATTGTACAAGAGTACAATCCCAGTACTCTATCATAACGCTTTGAAACTACAGTACTGATGGTTTTTTGTCAATTTTGTCGCTTCTTGTTAGTATTATTTTACATAGTAATCATATCTCTTTTTCTTCTATCTTTCAGCTTTGGTATATTTAACACCTGCCTTCTCTGTAGCTCTTGTTTTTGTTTAGTTCTCTAAGCCATTTAGTTGCATGTTTTAGCATTTTCTCCAATGTACTGACATGCTTCTTGAGATATGGGCACCATACAACCTCCGCATATTCAAATTTGGTCTCACAAAGGTCGTAAACAATTTCTTTGGCACAATCTATGTATTTAAAGGCTATTCTGAAGTTGGAAAAAGTAGCACATGCTCCTCGCACAATATTTGATGTGGTCCTCGGGTACGTAATGGGGCTTGAGCCCAATACGTGCCTTAGTAACCTTTTTTCATTATCACCCATAAGATAGGTATGGGGTGCATAATAAATGAACACGCTATGGAACATTATAACATTAGGCTTCTATACCTGTGATTTCTGTAATCAGTGAACTTACCGTGGGAGAGAGCAGGAGACGGGAAACGTGTATGCTTACAATATTATTATTAGATCAGCTGCATCCCACCCGTCCAGATCCTGTCCCACACCGATGTGGGTGTGGAGCGGAGCCAACTACGTTATTTTGATTTGATTTATTTTCAAAATAGCACAATAGCTTTGTAAATAGTACATTTTGCAAAGCCTAGCGTTTCGGGCAAGTCGTAAGGTTAACAAATTGAGAATTTGCAGTAATTTGTAATGACGTTAACAAACTTGCAGTCTGGAGCAACAGGTATGGGGCATAATACTGTTTATTATTAGGGCCCTGCAGACCTTGAGCCGCGGAGGGGGGGGGGGGGGGGGGATGTACCCCCCCCCCCACAGTATTTGATTTGTCGACCTATCATGTAAGCAATTGGTGTGTATATATGTATGTATGTATATACTATTTGTGTCTGCAGAATCGAACTCTTAGCTCTTGGACTCCGCCTTTCTAACCAATTTATTTTTTCCTCTATTATGTCTAATATTTATTTCTCTTACACACACACATCCCCAGCACATAGCCCGTACTGTCTAACCCTTCATGCAAACTGCACCTACTATCAAGAAGAAGAAAAAGTACTGTCTAACTCCCCGGTACCTATTTACTGCTAGGTGAACAGGAGCACTAGGGTGAAAGAAACTCTGCCCATCATGTGCCTTTGTAACTCTTTCCACTACCGCCCACAAGATGGGTATGGGGTGCATAATAAATGAACTAAACTAACATCTACTCCTACACCCACTTGTGAAAGAAATTAACATATGGGAACAGGTGGAGCTGGTCCTCCGTTTGAACTACACCAATATTAACAATACACCAATATTACTTTTCCCTACTGTACTTGTGAAAGCCTACTCACTCTGACCACAGTTGTATCATCCTGCCCTTATCACCCAGACGCTGGAATAAGTCTTCGACTATATCACCTTCAACCAACATCCTGCTCCTTTTCACTAGTTACTCTAGGACGGGGCCGTGGATCTCATTCAAACTTATTCTCTTCCGTAAGCAAAAAAAAAAATCATCCTATCAGACATATTAATATTACATCAGTACACCCAGATTAGATAAGATAGCACTGTAGATATGAATGCTGTTTTCTCTCTCGTGGCCCAGGCACCAGACTATGAAGCCTAGTTAACAGACCAGTCACGATACTAAGATGCTGCTCACTGTAGCGCTTCCACTGAGTTTGGTGACACTGGGTATCCATCTGGCGTGGATCGACGCCGCGTGCCTCAATTATATTTCTTGTTACAATGACTTGTATCTTAATCAAGAGAACTTCGTGACCCTGCATTCCAGTTTAGAGGAGAGGTCGGCAGTGAGTTGCGCCACCCTCTGCCTCCAGAGGTGGCCTGAAACTCAGCTGGTGATGGCCAAGTTGGTGGACGTGAACGAGCGTCTCTCATGCGGGTGTGGCGATAAACAGGCTGTTAGTGATCCCTCGGGAACAGTCAATGACTTCTACGATTGTTACGTGTGTCCCGACGGTGATAACCAGAAATGTGGAAGTGAGAAGACGACCAGCGTCTACGAGGTGGAAAACACCAACCACTCTTGCCCTCGGGTCCACCTAACAATACCAGAGAAACTGAACCTCACCTCTACATCTACCATTATCCCCACAACTGCCTCTCCTGGCCAAAAATCGTGGTTTACAACCCCGTCCATTGGCCTGTGGCAGAGTTCATCCATCGTTGCCAATAAAACTGCGACAAACGCAAATACAACAGCACAGCAAGCTGCTAGCGCCTTACCGGGATCGCCACCGCTTGTTTTCTTGGGCTGCTATGAGGAGGAGAGGATCAACGAATCGTTGGTGGTAACCATGATGCTCAATCAACGAGATGTTAACATCACTCACTGTGCCACCAGCTGCCTCTTCGCCCACCCAGCAACTGACGTCTTCCTTGTCAAGCTCCTTAACGTCGATCGTCTTTACTGTGGCTGTGGGTATGTAGCAAGTGTTGTGACTGGGTATGTAGCAGATGTTGTGACTGGGTATGTAGCAAGTGTTGTGACTGTAGGTATGTAGCAGGTGTTGTGACTGTAGATATGTAGCAGGTGTTGTGACTGTAGGTATGTAGCAGGTGTTGTGACTGTAGGTATGTAGCAGGTGTTGTGACTGTTAGCATGCAGTAATGTGGCTGTGGATACGTAGATGTGATTGTAGAGTATGTAGCACGTGTTATGAACTCAACGCTGGAGCCGGATATTCCAAGATTGGTCTCACACGAGATATGGAAGGTTCTTAATTATTTGTTTCACAGATTTCAAAAGGCAGTTCTTATGTTAGCCAACCTCACATAGGTCACTGTTAACATCTGTTTGATGTAGGCTTCAGGAAATAGGTTCGATGTGAAATCAACCCCCCAGGTCTTCCTATCTACCCGATTTTTTAAGGATTTCATCTCCCATCTAGTGACTTGTGTCTATTCTTCTCCATACACCTAGTTTCCTTACTTTGCATTTACTTCAGTTAAATTCTAGTAGCCACTTGTTGGACCATTCTTTCAGGGTGCCTGTTCGTGATAGAATTAACTTCTGAATGAAACATATAAGTGCAGATGTTTGATTATTCCCGCGCATTCTAACACTTAAATAATTGAGAAAACATTACACCAATACTTATCATTTAACTCAAACACGAGTTGCATTTCTCTCAGCATATCCTCCCAGACACCTAACGTATCCCTTGTATCTTCCTGGCCCCTCCTGTAGGATGGGTGTGGCGGTAGACCCGAAGGCCGGGGTGGGCTACTGCGACCTCTACTGCCAGGATGATCCCCACCAGTCTTGTGGAGGGTGGGTCTCCGTCAGCGCCTACATCAGGGGCGCCGGTGGCGCGGAGTGTACCCTCCTATCTTCCCATAGCCTCCTGGTGGCCTTGATCTTCCTGATGATGATGTCCGCATGACCCTCCTGCTGAGTTACCTAAAGATCCTGCAACTAGCATGATAAGGAGCCGGATTAAAAACGGTATACAGAGGAAGTCGGTTCAAATCTGCTCTCCTCTCACTATACTGCACGCTAAACTATCCCTATCTTACATATGGTATCTGTGCATGGGGTTCAACCACTGCAAACTATCCCCAAGCCCATCATCAACCAGCAATAATCTGCTATCAGACCAATAACAAACTCTGCTTTCAGACAACACTCAGCCGCCCCCCCCTCCTGTTTAAATCCCTAACCATGCTAAACATAAACTCACTCCACACATTCTCTTGTGCCATTTACATTTAAAAAACCCTGTTCTTAATTTTAAATGCAAACCCTGTTCTGAATTACTTTTCCTGGACAGATGTAATAGAACTCATAATCACCACACCAGAAATAAATATCTCATTGATATCCCTAGAGTCAAACTTAATCTATGTAAACACTATGCAAATAAAGGGACCTAGTCTATGGAACTCACTCCCTAACGAATTGAAAAGCTGTCCAATTTGGCCTTATTCAAAAATAAAACCAAAAAGTACCTAATTTCATCCTCATAGTTTCCTACATAGTACTTTAAACTCGCACTATATCTAGTGCTACCTAATTCCCCAATATATGTACCTAAGCCATACAACTTTACCATTGTAATCATTGCTATCATCTTACATCGTGGTTGTTATATTGAACACATATTTTACTGCATTATGCCTTTAAATAATCCTCAAATTATGCTACAATGTACCTGTTGATAATCTTAAATTTTACTTTAATGTACCAACTAATCTTTATAAAATTTTCTTACAATGGACCTGTAAATTAGTTTTTAAATTTTGATAGAAATTACCTACTTAAAATTATCTGTTAGATTAAGAACCTGCTTGAAACGCTATGCGTGTTAGTGGCTTTACAAGACTGTAAAAACATCAATGCTATGTACTCTCAAACCCAATGTACCTTCGTGTATATATGTAAATAAATAAATACATACTGTACATTGCAACACATCGGATCCAAACGAGGCTGTTTGCCAATGGAAGGTTATTAGTCCAGGCAAATTAAGCATATTCTAGCAAAACACATTAACTACTTTATAAGATACTGAAAATGTATATGCATGCTCTTTAACCCTCTCGGTACAAGGTATTAAATGTACTCAGCAAATCCTTCAGTCGCCATTTTTCAAAATGGCGGCCAACTTTAATATTTTTTTCCAATTTGCGTTACAAGAGTTTGTCTAACAGTAAAATAATCGAGCATAGAAATCTTTACAAAACAGGGCTTTTGCATTTTGTTTCTATTTAAGAGACCGTTCATAAATTATAATGTATTTTAAATATTCAGAAATATGGTTAATCCTCCTTTTACAGTTCACATGATTTCATTTTGTGTTTCAATCTAAGTTTTTACTCACTCTTACTACTTGTTGATGAATATTATTTAACAATGATACAGTCAATGCGCAGGAAGGCTTACCAACATTTACAGAGTCAAGTAAGGAAATAGAAGATTCGAACTAATTAAAAATCCCTACAAGAGCATGTCCCAACCCGAAAATCCAAGCAGAAAATTCCTACAAGGGCATGTCTCAAGCAGAAAATTCCTACAAGGGCATGTCCCAAGCAGAAAATTCCTACAAGGGCATGTCCAAAGCAGAAAATTCCTACAAGGGCATGTCCCAAGCAGAAAATTCCTACAAGGGCATGTCCCAAGCAGAAAATTCCTACAAGGGCATGTCCCAAGCAGAAAATTCCTACAAGGGCATGTCCTAAGAAGAAAATTCCTACAAGGGCATGTCCCAAGCAGAAAATTCCTACATGGGCATGTCCAAAGCAGAAAATTCCTACAAGGGCATGTCCCAAGCAGAAAATTCCTACAAGGGCATGTCCCAAGCAGAAAATTCCTACAAGGGCATGTCCCAAGCAGAAAATTCCTACAAGGGCATGTCCCAAGCAGAAAATTCCTACAAGGGCATGTCCCAAGCAGAAAATTCCTACAAGGGCATGTCCTAAGAAGAAAATTCCTACAAGGGCATGTCCCAAGCAGAAAATTCCTACAAGGGCATGTCCCAAGCAGAAAATTCCTACAAGGGCATGTCCCAAGCAGAAAATTCCTACAAGGGCATGTCCCAAGCAGAAAATTCCTACAAGGGCATGTCCCAAGCAGAAAATTCCTACAAGGGCATGTCCTAAGAAGAAAATTCCTACAAGGGCATGTCCTAAGAAGAAAATTCCTACAAGGGCATGTCCTAAGAAGAAAATTCCTACATGTCCCAAGCAGAAAATCTCTACAAGTGCAGGCGATGAGTCACAATAACGTGGCTGAAGTATGTTGACCAGACCACACACTAGAAATTGAAGGGACGACGACGTTTCGGTCCGTCCTGGACCATTCTCAAGTCGATTGTCACAATCTCACAATCGACTTGAGAATGGTCCAGGACGGACCGAAACGTCGTCGTCCCTTCAATTTCTAGTGTGTGGTCTGGTCAACAATCTCTACAAGTGTTCCTCTGACAATAAAATTAGATTTAATCCATCACGAAAACGTGGCTGACCAGAAATTGTAGATTGAACAACTGTAAATGAAAAAGGTTTACCTGCAGAGGATAGTGAGGATACAGTTTACATGGATCGCTTGAATTGATCGATAAATATAAGGTAGGTGCAAGATATCTGAAGAAGAATTATAAGAAACACATGGAGGGGTGAGCTGACTGAGAATCACAAACAACACACACCCACTGAATGCTACTACAGTATATGACACAAAGTACCAAGAGGTACTCCTCTCAGTAACCTGACACGTCCCTAGTCTTTCAATCATCTGTCAGGGCGCCTGACAGCTGGGTGGACAGCGCTTGGGATTCGTAGTCCTGAGGTTCCAGATTCGATCCCCGGTGGAGGCGGAGATAAATTGGCAAAATGTTTCTTTCACCCTGATGCCCCTTGTTACCTAGCAGTAAATAGGTACCTGGGAGTTAGACAGCTGCTACGGGCTGCTTCCTGAGGGTGTGTAACAAAAAGGAGGCCTGGTCGAGGACCGGGCCGCGGGGACAATATGCCCCGAAATCACCTCAAAATAATCACCTGTCCCTAGTCTCTCAATCAGCTATGTACACATCGTTCTTATATTAATGACATTTTCCATTATTTATTCGAAAGAAAAATAAATAGTTGCAGTAGTGGTGAAATAGCGAATGGTCAACATTCCCCATCCAAGATCATATAAATGTAGGGATGAGGGGGAAGACCCATGACCTCCACCCCCCCACCCTTCACCTATTCACCCATCGTGCATACTTGGTTGTACTCTTACAATTACTACCCATACTTTTATAGCCTGCAAACTTCAGTCCTTTAATTATCTACCATTTACTCTTAGTTTACCTTGGATCATTTATTGACTTTACAAATTATATGTTATTCCTACTATTACTTTAGTTTATAATTGTTCATTCGTCGTCTTAATTTACTCTATAACTTTAATTTATTAAATATTAATTTTCTATTCTGTGTTTCTCTCAAGCCTTAGAACTTATTGTGTTCTACGCAGTTTCCCAGTGCAGGCTAATACAAGACTCGCATTTCATGTTCTCTCTTGATTCCATGTATGATCAATCATCCTGTGAGATGGGGGATATTAGATGAATTCATAGCTAGCTCATAATGTATACTCTGTGATTCTTCAGATATATAATAGGGCAGCGTAATTGCTATGTGTACCTTAGTTTGTTAATAAAAGAACTTACTTGTCTCCCTACACTTTATGGCAAAACTTAATCCCCATGCAAGCCGAACTAACATACTTTTAGCCAAGCTGTATTCGACCTTTGATCTGTCAGATGGCTATGCGTAAATTCCATACATGGGAGACACATAAGGCACTTCAAATATGTGATATAGGCAAATTTAAATTGATTTGATGTAGGTAAATTATAAGATATGGCTAAATTCAGGTAAATATGCGAGACATAGCGCTAGACGGCAACGATCCTTCAGTTTCATGAACACGACTCGAGGCTTCAGAACCCGCCGTCCTGCGATGTTGTTAGGTGGTGCAATCTCACTCCATGGGTTTCCTACTATTTTTTTTTTTTTTTGTGCATGAAGTGAGATATATTAAATCTTGTTTTCAAGCTAAGAACTCTCCTTAACACATTACATTTTCTTACAGTCGAAGACTGCTCACCAAAAAGTAATTAAATAGGTGCTCTTGAATTGTATAAAGTTTATATTTTTAGTTTGTGTTCATCACGTTATGCTGTACTTAGATTCACTTTTTACGGTATGTTCAGTTATTACTGTTAATTTAGTTTTTATCCTTCATTTAGGTCTTATTTGATAAATTTCCTTAAATTTATTAAACAAACAAAAAATTCCCCATATTGTTTGGCTTGAGCCTGGGAAATAGTTGCCTGTGCTGGTTGCATGAGAGCCGTGCAACACTCGTTGACCACCTCAATAAGATTATCATGCTTATTATTGTTCCCAGCAATGGAAAACCCTTATTAAAGTATCTCAGGACTATAACTAGCTTAGCTAAATAAATTATGGGGTGCAGCTCCTTTATGAGCCCATTAAAATTTGCCTATATATAACTTTAAATTTCCACTACCACTCAATACAGGATGGGAATAGAACGCATAATAAATTAGCTAGTCTTAAGACAATAAAAAGAAAAACAAAATCTGTGCCCGGGGGGGGGGGTAAACTACCGATTAGTTATTTACTACCACAGACTTCACCATTCAACAAAAGTGGTAACTTACAGGCTCAAGTGTACATGTTCGTTTGTTCTACATGATTAATTTACCTGGATGATATGAGATGTGAGGTGACGCCATCGGCGTGTTCTAATCCCTTGATGAAGATTACACCACCCAACAGGTGGCACGAGCATGAAAAGCCCGTAATTCTAATCCTTCGACGATTTCTGCCGAGCAGCAGGTATTATAGCCCCTCCCGCATCCAGCTTCCACGCTCTTGTCTCGCATTTCTTTACTTATTTATTTATATACAAGAAGGTACATTGGGTTTATGAGAATACATAGCATTGATGTTTTTACATTCGTGTAAAGCCACTAACACGCATAGCCTATGAAACTGCTAAATTGTCAACTCGTCATCCAGTGATCCACAAAAGAATCCAACCCAGCCTAGAGTACATAAGAAACACCGTCACAAAAAAACTTGCACCCCTCAACAAAGCCCATCTACAACAGAGAGTAGCAAAAGGTTTACTCTCTGCAATATGGTATCTTCAGGCCACCAAGTTAGACAGGTTAAATATCCCAAAAGGAATCCACAGCGAAATAAGGGAGCCCAGAGAGTGGGAATGCAACTTCTGCCAATCACAGAAAAAACATTACTTCACTATCTCCTTGAATGTGAAGCAACCAACGACCTTAGAAGAACTTAGAAGAGTCCGTGAATTTTGCATTAACCAGTTTGAAACCATCAACACTGCCACTCTTCTGATCAAGAGAGGTGTCCAGCAGTTATGAGGACACCCTCATAAATACTGTCAAGTAGCATCCTTCCCCGCGACAACAGTCACATAATAAGGACCGGCGATTTAAATGCGAACTCAGAACACAGTATATCCTTTCACGACCAAAGATCATATTCACTTGGGCTGGAGGGTAGAGCGACGGTCTCGCTTCATGCAGGTCGGCGTTTAATCCTCAACTGTCCAAGTGGTTGGACACCATTTCTTTCCCCCTTCGCATCCCAAATACTTATCCTGATGATGATGATGATGAAGATTAAGCCACCCAAAAGGTGGCACGGGCATGAATAGCCCGTAAGTGGTGGCCCTTTTAAGCCATTACCAGTATCAAGAGCTGATACTGGAGATCTGTGGAGGTGCGAATGCATCCTGCATGACGGGAGATGTCTCCCTTATGAATGTGTTAAGATGAAGATGAAGCAACCCAAAAGGTGGCCCGGGCATGAATAGCCCGTAAGTGGTGGCCCTTTTAAGCCATTACCAGTATCAAGAGCTGATACTGGAGATCTGTGGAGGTGCGAATGCACCCTGCATGACGGGAGATGTCTCCCTTGTGAATGGGTTAAGATGAAGATGAAGAAACCCAAAAGGTGGCACGGGCATAAATAGCCCGTAAGTGGTGGCCATTTTAAGCCATTACCAGTATCAAGAGCTGATACTGGAGATCTGTGGAGGTGCGAATGCACCCTGCATGACGGGAGATGTCTCCCTTGTGAATGTGTTAAGATGAAGCCACCCAAAAGGTGGCACAGGCATGAATAGCTCGTAAGTGGTGGCCCTTTTGAGCCATCACCAGTATCAATAGATGATACTGGAGATCTGTGGAGGCGCGACTGCACCCTGCGTGACGGGAGATGTCTCCCTTGTGAATGGGTTAAGATGAAGATGAAGCCACCCAAAAGGTGGCACGGGCATAAATAGCCCGTAAGTGGTGGCCATTTTAAGCCATTACCAGTATCAAGAGCTGATACTGGAGATCTGTGGAGGCGCGACTGCACCCTGCGTGACGGGAGATGTCTCCCGGACCAAATGGTGACCAGATGGTGACTTATCCTGACAACTTCCAAGTTATATAGTCATAACAGCTTGGCGCTTTCCCCTGACTGCTCCCTCCCCTTCCCCTCCAAAAAATCTACCACTTACAGCCTATTATTCATGCCCGAGGCACCTCGCTATGTGGCTTAATCTTCATCATCAATCAAGCACGTTGACCCGGGCACTGCCGGATACCTCATCTATCTATAGCTGTAAGAGAGAATGTCTATCTGTATCTGATCAAGGATAGGTATGGGGGTACATAATAAATTAACTAAACTGAAACAGTTTAGTTTTTTGTCCTGGCGAGTTTCACAGGACAAAACGACATGGTTTGTTTACACCGTCTGGAGAAACACCTCAACTCCGGGATCACCACTCTAGTGTCCTAATATGCATCAGACAAGGGTGCAAATAATTTGCAAACTTGCAAACGAAAATCACTGACTATAATACACATATTCTATTACTGTACAAACCCGAGGAGGGAGTGAGAGAGAATGTTGTGTTGATTTAGGGGCGACGGAGTGAAAGAATGTTGTTCTGCTCGTAGCAGCCGGGCTGGTCGGTTGTTTCCCACCAGTTCCTCTGCCATTTTCTCTGAGCTCCGCCGCTGTAGGGGCAACTGAATAAATAAATAAATAAATGTTTATTTAAGTAAAAGTACATGCATAGAAGATGAGTTACAAACAGAATGTTGGAATTCTAGATAGAGCTAGTACATAATATGCCTAAAGCCACTAATATGCACAGTGTTTGGGCAAGATGTGGGAAAAACTTATACTAAAACTTAATACAACTGTTGTGACTTCAGCTGTAATATTGTAAATAACGAATTAAACAAAATCTACTTATGGATCTCAACCAACAAACTCACATTAAACATAGAAAGCACCTACTACATTTTATATGGAAGAAAATCATCAAATAAAATGACACTTCAGATAGGCATGTTAACATTAGCAATAAAAATGATGGAAAGTTCCTTGGCCTTTACATAGACAAGAGACTAAACTTCAGCACTCACATACAACACATAGCCAAAAGAGTGTCAAAAACTGTTGGTATACTCTAAAAAATCAAGTACGATGTTCCTCACTCAAATTATAAATATGACCGATGTGGAGGCGAGTGGCAATACTGATGCTTCGGTGGTTCAGTGAAGCCTCGAGCGGCGTGGCCGAGGGTGGGCCAGGCGGACCTCCACTAGCCTCTTGGTCCAGTACCTCCACAACCGGGCCACAGGTGGGAGACGCGTACACTTCCTGGTTACTCTGCCTCTTGTACTATACGTGTGCTGCCAGTACTGGTAAGTTCTTGTTGAGTATTACATGATATGTACATTACAATGCAACCGGAAAAGATTAAGATCCAATTAGTGCCCAAAACGCTACGCAAAACGCTAATATATATATATTATATATATATATATATATATATATATATATATATATATATATATATATATTTATATATATATTATATATATATATATATATATATATATATATATATATATATATATATATATATATATATATATATATATATATATATATATATATATATATATATATATATATATATATATATATATATATATATATATATATATATATATATATATATATATATATATATATATATATATATATATATATATATATATATATATATATATATATATATATATATATATATATATATATATATATATATATATATATATATATATATATATATATATATATATATATATATATATATATATATATATATATATATATATATATATATATATATATATATATATATATATATATATATATATATATATATATATATATATATATATATATATATATATATATATGCGAACAAGCCTGAATGGTCCCCAGGACAATATGCAACTGAAAACTCACACCCCAGAAGTGACTCGAACCCAGTATTCCCAGAAGCGAACCCATACTCCCAGAAGCGTTGCTTCTGGGAGTATGGGTTCGAGTCACTTCTGGGGTGTGAGTTTTCAGTTATATATATATATATATATGTCGTACCTAGTAGCCAGAACGCACTTCTCTGCCTACTATGCAAGGCCCGATTTGCCTAATAAGCCAAGTTTTCATGAATTAATATATTTTCTCTATTTTATTTCTTATAAAATGATAAAGCTACCCATTTCATTATGTATGAGGTCAATTATTTTTTTTGAAGTTAAAATTAACGTAGATATATGACCGAACCTAACCAACCCTACCTAACCTATCTTTATAGGTTAGGTTAGGTTGGGTAGCCGAAAAAGTTAGGTTAGGTTAGGTTAGGTAGGTTAGGTAGTCGAAAAACAATTATTTCATGAAAACTTGGCTTATTAGGCAAATTGGGCCTTGCATAGTAGGCTGAGAAGTGCGTTCTGGCTATTAGGTACGACATTATATATATATATATATATATATATATATATATATATATATATGTCGTACCTAGTAGCCAGAACGCACTTTTCAGTCTAATATGCAAGACCAAATTTGCCTAATAAGCCAAGTTTTCCTCAATTAATATATTTTCTCTAATTTTTTTCTTCTGAAATGATAAAGCTACCCATTTCATTATGTATGATGTCAATTTTTTTTATTGGAGTTAAAATTAACGTAGATATATGACCGAACCTAACCAACCCTACCTAACCTAACCTAACCTATCTTTATAGGTTAGGTTAGGTTAGGTAGCCGAAAAAGTTAGGTTAGGTTAGGTTAGGTAGGTTAGGTAGTCGAAAAACAATTAATTCATGAAAACTTGGCTTACTAGGCAAATTTGGCCTTGCATAGTAGGCTGAGAAGTGAGTTCTGGCTACTAGGTACGACATATATATATATATATATATATATATATATATATATATATATATATATATATATATATATATATATATATATATATATATATATATATATATATATATATGTGTGTGTGTATATATGTGTATACTGGCAGCAGGTTTTCTTTCAAACATGTTTCATTGAATATGACCGCATATTCTGTATTTATTATTTTCTGGTTTAGGGCTTCTATCCCTCTAACTATTTTCTTAGCATCAGGGCTTAATTGAAATAGGAGTTCTCCAAAACTCATTTTCGTAATTTTAAGGTGAAGAAAAGAAGTGATTTACTATAGAGTGTATTACACTTATTTATATAATTTGCACAACGTTTCGAACCTCCATGTTTCATTCTCAAGTGAACAGATCTTACAATACTAGTTGATTTTATACCCGCACTGGGTCAGGTGATAATACAATAAAGGTGAAAACATGGGGGGATACATAAGGGATAAATGTGAGGTGAAACATAGAGGCTGCAGAAGGCATATTGGCCCATACGAGGCAGCTCCTATCTAAACACAAAGATTAATCCAGTGTAATTGGCTATTGCCAATTACACAAAGATTAATCCAATTAATAAGATTAAACCCTCATCTACTCAAAATCCAACCTCCACACACTAAATAATGTTGTAAATAATGAATTAAAAAAAGTCCACTCGTGTCAACTAACAAACTCGCACTAAACATAACACCTACATTTTATTTGGAAGCAAATCAACAAATGCAATTCAGCTTCAGATAGACACTGTTAACATCAGCAATAAAAGTACTAGTAATGGAAAATTCCTTGGCCTATAAATTGGCTTCAACACCCACATACAACACATAACCAAGAAAGTCTTAAAAACTGTTGGTATATTTTCTAAAAGTCAGATATTATGTTCCAAACTTTGTTCTAAACCAACATGCATAGCATTTTGGGCAAGTCCCTAATCTAACAAACAACATTAAGTAGGTAATTTGTAGCAAAATTAAAAAAATGTTAACAGGTACATTGTAGTAAAGTTTGAGGATTATTAACAGGTACATTTTGGCAAAATTTGAGAATTATTATTTCTAGGTACATGTAGAAAAATTTGCATTCAACATAACTTTGATATAAGATGATAGCAGTGATTACAGTGGTGAAGTTGTATGGTTTAGGTACATATTTTTGTAGAGTGGGTAGCATAAGATAGTGTGAGTTTGAAGCACTAAGTAGGAAACTATGAGGATGAAATTTGGAACTTTTTTTATTTTAATTTTTAATAAGGCGGAGGTTGGACAGCCTTTTAATTTCGTTAGAGAGTGAGTTCCATAGACTACCTTGAGGTTACCTTGAGGTGCTTCCGGGGCTTAGCGTCCCCGCGGCCCGGTCGTCGACCAGGCCTCCTGGTTGCCGGACTGATCAACCAGGCTGTTGGATGCGGCTGCTCGCAGCCTGACGTATGAGTCACAGCCTGGTTGATCAGGTATCCTTTGGAGGTGCTTATCCAGTTCTCTCTTGAACACTGTGAGGGGTCGGCCAGTTATGCCCCTTATGTGTAGTGGAAGCGTGTTGAACAGCCTCGAAACTCTGATGTTGATAGAGTTCTCTCTCAGAGTACCAGTTGCACCTCTGTTTTTCAACGGGGGTATTCTGCACATCCTGCCATGTCTTCTGGTCACTTGATTTGCATAATGTTTACACAGATTTACTTTGACTCTAGGAACCTCACTCAACCTTCCTCAACCACTTTAGTTTTTTATTAAAGCAGTCCTGGATATCACTTTGTATCCATATTTCTTGCTTTTTAACGGTCTGAATTTTAGGAAATTTCAAACAGGCTCCTTCTAGCAAGCTCTTTATTATAACTTCTTTAATTATGGGGAAGTGGGTTCCATGTGTAGTGGTAGTAGAGTATTCCCTTTATTACATCCCAAAGACTGACTACTCTTTTTGTTCACCATTTCTAACTTGGTCAGCATCTCCATTAATGCCAATGGTATCAAATGTTATCCTCTGTTGAGGGCCCGAGTTTATATAAACGAGTCGTATTCTTACCGTCATCTGTGTTTCAGTAGATCATTCATCCTTTTCGTTTCCTTGTTTTCTTCCTTTTCTCATTTGATAACCTGTTTCATGCTTTTTGTATTCATGAGCCATTTCAGATCTGTTGTATATATCTGTAATAAAAAGAACATGACACAATGAATGATAAAATATGCATTAGTATTGAATGTTTATAACTTTAAAACAAAACAAAAAATAAGTATTGTACTTTATTTTTAATGCATTTCAACTGGTTGCTACTTATGAGGCAATGAATTTGAAGTGTAATCATTTTGTATTGTGTGATAGGATTGTGGGTGGAAAAGGTATTACTCTATATATAATTAATCAATACACTTTGCGTCTTGCCACAAGTCAAACTTGGATAGTTGCAGTGGTGGGGTATGAGGAACCTGTAGATGCTTCTCCATCTCGGTAATCACTACTATTACAGGTGATCGAGGACAAGGTCACCATGAACACCCGCGTAGCGTGGATCTTGCTGTTTACTTACATTGTCCAGCTGGTATGTATGATGGTACCTGGTAATTAATGATAATGATGTATCTTGTACATATTGCTTCGGCAGCAGGCGATCTCAACCTTTTTGAGATGGGGTGAAAGTACAGTACTGTATTTTATTTTAATGGTGGTGGACCTCTGGCAGCACCCAGAACTGGTAGTCACTTTCACGGTCCAACTTTAATTTATTTGTATGACTAGCATCGTAAATTGAAGCGTGTTGCTTTATACTGGTTTTAATTTTTTTGTTACCATAAATTTTAGGTTTTGGGTGGCTTTGGATTATGGGTAGCAGTCCAGTTCTCCCAGAGGGATGCACAGAGTCCTCCTATCCCACCAACTACAACCACAGCTCTACCTACGACATTACCCCCTTCACAAAGGAATGGATACCAAAGGTATCATATTATGGAAGGCAATACCATATTGTATATAATGTTGGAAGCCCACTTAATTTTTCATTAGTACTTTTAGACTTTCACTTGAATTCGAGTAAACATGTCTGGCAAGAAATCAGTAAATTGTGCAAGTACAGCATGGTATAGTATTATAGAGAATATTCAGTTACTAAGGGTCTTGTACAGTTGGATTGGCCTCTACCTTGAACTAGATTGAAAGGAAAGAAAGATTATCAAAATTGTCAATTATGAATATAGTATATTTTGATTTAACATCACTTGCATATTCTGGGTAATTTGTTGTCAAGTCCATTAATATATTAGTGTTGTCCAGTAATGTGTAGAAGCAAGACTGTCATTTTGAAAATGTTTAAAGTACTGTACTGTATTTGTTTTGATACCAGACACAAACCAGAAATGGTTAGATAACTTAATGTCCAGTTTAGAAAGGCTAGAAAAAAATTTGTTGGAGTGAATTTATTGTGAGTGTATTTTGTTCATTGAATTAATTACCATGGAGGTAAAGGTGTAGAAATGTCTATTTTAACATAATCATGTTTCTGACAGTATTTTAGTATTTATTTTTGAATACAGTACTAAACTTAATTAAATAGACATATAATTAAGTTTAGCATTTTAATTTTTCTTGTCCTAAACTCTTAATTAAATGTTAATTTGAACCAATAAAGTTTTTTTTTTTTTTTATTGAAACAGGTGGGACTACCACCATGAATCGATTGAACAAACTAAAGAATATAAAGAGTATGTGACGGCTACCAAACGTTATGCAAGTTGTATTCGAAATCCAAGAATGTACATCATGGTTCCCTGTAGTGTTGCTGTCATGATTGCTACTGGTTTAGTTGTGAGTGGCATCTGCTCGAGGAAAACTTTTACAACAACAACTGTAAGTGTACAGAAGTACCCAAGATTATTGAATAATTGTATTTTAATGACTAACATTTACTCGGTTTCTTTCAGTAATTGATGCATTTCATGACATTAGCTATTACATGTAATTTATTTATTTACTTATTTTTTTCTCCGCAGGGATATTCCTGCATGGACTCTTAAGTTCCTGGCTGGCCCGCTAAGCGTTATTTGTTTCTGTTTTACTTAGGCAGTGTATGATTATTATACAGTGTGACTCGTATGATCGCTAAAGTAAGATTTTGCCACATGTTTTTAACTACTACTACTACTACTGCTGCTCTGTTGAATCTAAGCTTCGAATGTAATGCTGTAAGTCGTTGAATGTGAGTCATCTCCCATATCAGGAACGGTTGAAGGCCACGTGGCTAACATTGCAAACCAGGCATGACAGGGTGGATCTCATTGAAACTTTTAAAATACTGTACTGATAAATTTGGAGGATGTCGATCCTGATGATTTCAAACCAATGTACCTTGTATTACAGTATAAATAAATAGATAAAATAAATGGCGAGTCACCAAAATAGCATTGACAGTCCATGGAATCCATGGACTCCCATGGATTCGACGCAGGTTCGAATCCTCGTCACGGCCCTTGTGTATTTGTTAAAAAATGTCAAATGTATCTACGATTACTGTATCTAGTAATCAAATATGTATCTGATTACCTCCCCCCCCCCATAACCACTCAAGATAAAATGCATCAATTTTCTACAGTACACCATTTTAAAAATGGAAGGCATTTTGCACCATTTAGTTCTTCAGATAGTATAGCTGATAAATTATGTGGCCTCCTTTCTTATTTATATATATTTTGTTAAAAGGAAATTTTCTAAGGCTTGTAACTTTAGATTTTGTATTTCTTCCAGGGTCTCTATAGCTCGTTGGGTTTGTGGATAGTGATCCTTCTGATTGCTGTACTGTACCAGGCCGTTGATTGGAAGCCAGACAGTGACTTCTATTCCACTCTAAAATGGGTGATTGGCTTGCAGGTTGGATTGCTGCTCCTGCTAGTCTTACAGGTATTTTCCTAGTTTAGTATTGTACATTTGCTGACCCCTGTATTATTGGTTTGCCATCACTTGAAAATAGTCAGTAAAAATATTATGGATAAAATCTTTTGGATTATTATTAGAGTACCATAACAAATATTAAACAAAAAATATATATACAGTGGAACCTCGATTAACGAGTGGCTCTATTAACGAGTTTTTCCAGTTACGAGCAAGCCACTCGCAGCAAATTAGTCTATTGACGAGCTCGCCTCTATTAACGAGCAAAACCACATGGTGCTTCCTAGCATCTCGCGGGTTCTCGCAAATTCTCGGACGCCTCCGACGCCAGTGTTGTTGTTGTATCGCACACGACAAGCATCCCTCTTGATTTATTTGAGCTTTTCTTTGGGTTTTTAGTGGTTTTGCGACTACAATTTGTAACACACGATGTCTCCAAAGAAGCTGCTTGCTAAAGATAGTGTTGTCAAGAGGAAGTAAGACACAATTACTGTGGATTTAAAGAAGGAAATTATAGCAAAGCATGAGTGTGGTGTCTGTGACTGATCTCACAAGGGAGTATGGCAGGTCCTCATCAACAATTTACACCATTAGAAAGGGAATGAGGAGGTAAGGGAGGATGGTGTCTCTTCCACTGAGATCAGGGAAGTGTTTGGAATGTTTGAAAAGGTGAACGCATTCTTGGAAAAGCTGCCCTGATAAAGCAGTGACAACCCGGTGTGTGAAAATGTTTAATTTATCACTTTGTGATAACACTTTGTGAAAGTGTTATCACTTTCGCAGGTATATGTCGAGCGTGACACACTTTTTCTCTTGAATGCACCCAAACACAGCGCTCAAGCGTCATTTGAGCAAATATTTCTATAAAATCCAATTCTTATCTGATCGACTTGGGGAGTGTATACGTGTTTGCCATGAAATTTCCGTTTTCTCTAATAACCACATTGCCTATTTGGGAGAACGACATTGTATTGTATCTTCGTGGTAAGACCATTATATTGTTGACACAACGAGTGTAATCGACGTAGTTTTTTATTTGGTGCTGGTCTAACGCATCCTTGTGTGACATTTGAAATGAAATTTGGGTGAAATTCGCAAGAAGAGAAAGTCTGCCTGACTCAGAGGTGGATTCTCCTTCCACACCATAACTCCTTTCCACCTCTCCATCGTCTCACTCAAGCCAGCAACTACTCTTCATAAGGTAAAGTAAACATTAAAACACTACAACAAAACATTTATATTTACATGTGCAGTGTTATATTTACATAAAAAAAGTCATAAAAGTATGGAAGTTTTTTGGAGTGGAACGGATTAAATTTATTTCCTTTATTTTAATTGAAATTTGTTTCTTAAGACGAGTTTTCCAGGTAACGAGCTCGGTGCCAGAACGGATTAAAATCGTTAATAGAGGTTCCACTGTATATATATATAATATACTGTAATTTGAATTAAAAGGCTGACCCTACAGTAACTTTTAGTTATACTAAAGTGGCCACTTGAAGCCACCTCTACATGTGACGTCCAGGTCGTGATATGGAATTCTAGAACCCCATATAAAGGTAGAGGTCAGTGACTATCTCGACTTCTTTTGAGGAGGTTTTCAGATTTTGCAAGTGCAATTGTTAAATGCCTCTTGAAAGGAGTTGATAGGAGATAAATATTTAAGAACAATAGGATAATTTCATGACGGTCATCACTGACCTTGTACAAAATACTGTATGTTCCAAGGAGAGGTTTAATGAGAAAAGACCAGATGTATGACAAAAGCAGTAAAGAGCTTTATCAACTAAGCTCAACCTTTCAATGTAAAAATGCAGTTTAATGCTTACAAACATAAGGGCTTAAGGCTAGGTAATGATGATAGCTACAAGATATGAGCTAGATAGTGTTGAGATTGCAAAAGGGATCTGGGAGTTATGATTAGTAAGAATTTAAAACTAATAAATTGATGCATAAATGTTCAAAAAAAGGCAAATGGGTCACTAGGATTTTTTCTCGGAGCATTAGTAATAAAACGCCCGGGGTTATTTTTCAGCTATATCTTGCTCTTGTTAGACCCCATTTGGATTATGCAGTTCAGTTTTGGTCGCCATACTATAGACTGGATATAAATTCACTAGAATGCGTCCAGTGTAGGATGAGAAAATTAATCCTGCAAATTACAAACCTTTCATATGAAGTGAGATTGACAAAGCCTAATTTACATTCTCTAAAAAGGTGAAGAATTATGGGTGACACAATAGTGTAAAAATGGATGAATGTGCATAACAAAGGGGGATATTAATAGGGTACTAAAAGAGTTAACACATAATAGAACACAAAATAATGGGTATTAATTGGATAAGTTTACATTTAGGAAAGACCTGGGGTAAATACTGGTTTGGTAGCAGGATGGTTGATTTGTGGAACCAGTTACCACGTAACATAATGAAAGTAGGATCCCTTGATTGTTTCAAGCGTAGATTAGACGTGTGTAATTACCTAAGTGTAATTACCTAAGTGTAGTTACAGGATGAGAGCTACGCTCGTGGTGTCCCATCTTCCCAGCACTCTTTGTCATATAACGCTTTGAAACTACTGACGGTCTTGGCCTCCACCACCTTCTCACTTAACTTGTTCCAACCATCTACCACTCTATTTGCGAAGGTGAATTTTCTTATATTTCTTCGGCATCTGTGTTTAGCTAGTTTAAATCTATGACCTCTTGTTCTTGAAGTGCCAGGTCTCGGGAAATCTTCCCTGTCGATTTTATCAATTCTTGTTACTATTTTGTACGTAGTGATCATATTGCCTCTTTTTCTTCTGTCTTCTAGTTTTGGCATGTTTAATGCTTCTAACCTCTCCTCGTAGCTCTTGCCCTTCAGTTCTGGGAGCCACTTAGTAGCATGTCTTTGCACCTTTTCCAGTTTGTTGATGTGCTTCTTAAGATATGGGCACCACACAACAGCTGCATATTCTAGCTTTGGCCTAACAAAAGTCATGAACAATTTCTTTAGTATATCGCCATCCATGTATTTAAATGCAATTCTGAAGTTAGAAAGCATAGCATAGGCTCCTTGCACAATGTTCTTTATGTGGTCCTCAGGTGATAGTTTTCTATCTAGAACCACCCCTAGATCTCTTTCTTTATCAGAATTCTTTAAAGATTTCTCACATAATATATAGGTTGTGTGGGGTCTATGTTCTCCTATTCCACATTCCATAACATGACATTTATTAACATTAAATTCCATTTGCCAAGTGGTGCTCCATATACTTATTTTGTCCAGGTCTTCTTGAAGGGCATGACAATCATCTAAATTTCTTATCCTTCCTATTATCTTAGCATCATCAGCAAACATGTTCATATAATTCTGTATACCAACTGGTAGATCATTTATGTAGACAATAAACATCACTGGTGCAAGAACTGAACCCTGTGGTACTCCACTTGTGACATTTCTCCATTCAGATACATTGCCTCTGATTACTGCCCTCATTTTCCTATCAGTCAGAAAATTTTTCATCCATGATAGAAGCTTACCTGTCACCCCTCCAATATTTTCCAGTTTCCAGAACAACCTCTTATGTGGAACTCTGTCGAAAGCCTTTTCTGGGGGGAGCCCCGTCGGCTCCCCGGAGCTTTACCGGTTGATATGCTAATGTCAGACTTTGGCATCAGTCATGTGTATGGAGTTCTAGGGCCTACCGGGGACCACGGCCAGAACCTGGCCCCCTCAGAGAGGCAAGGGGAGCAATGGCCTATAGAAACCCCCGTGTGGTTGGAAGCATTCTATGTCTGCCATCGACCGGGTCAAGCATCCAGAAAGGTAAGCATTCCAAAACAAACCCCTATTCTGGTGAAAATTGCTACCTAAAGCCGAACTAGTGGATAGAACTCTTCAACAGAAAACAAGGAAACTAGTATGACGTCATACGTCACCGCGCCGCTGTCTGCGCAGCTCCCCCCTCCCCGGGAGGGGGAAGGGGGAGCCCCAGACCTCCCACGCCGGCTATCCACCCATCAGTTCTTCGGCTGATGCTATAGGCAACGGTTATGTGCTCCGGCTCCAGTGGTTGTTTCAGCACTGTACCTAGAGTGTGGTGTCTGTTTTCTAGGTGGTGCGTGAGCCGGGAGTGATTCTCCAGTACTCGGGCTGCATGCGCCTAGGGTTCCCTTCCCTAGGTGCCCTGTAAGTACTGCCCTTGGGGCTTGGGGCCACCTTCCACAAGTTCCTTGGGTCCTGCCCCTGCTTGGCCGTTTACTGCTTGGTTTTCGGCCGCTCTTTGTGTGCTCGGGTGTTCTGTCTCCCTTGTTCGCCTTAGAGTAAGGGGCAGTTTTTGCACTGGTGGGGCGCAGGGTACTGTGCAGCTTGTCTTTACCAATCATAGCGGCCGGCTCTGTTCCGCTTGGGTACGCTGTCCTCTTGCGGGGTTTTCTTTTTCTTTTTGTTTATCTACCTGGTGGGGGGGTCTGCCTTCGTTCTTGCCCCTTGTGTCCCTTGTGTTCTGAGTATTTTCTGGTGGTACCCCCTGCTAGGTCCCCGTGAGTGTACACGTCCCGGGGGTTCAGCTCTTAGAAAGTTGTTTGGTAGCTTTGGGTGCCGGTTAGCAGTACCCTGCCTGGGATTACCTGAGCGCGAGTCCTCTTATAGTAAACGCTCGGGACCCTGGGAAACCCCTGGGGGCGCGCGGGTCCGATGGATGTGACCCCAGAGTCCCCCCCTCGCTTCCAGCGAGTTTGAGGGTTGCTCTCACCCTTTGTCTCTGGGTGACTCTGTTTTGCCTCCGTCTGCTGCCTGTGGGGTCGGTGACACCTTCGACCCGGAGTCCTGCGAGTTTGGTTGCTCGTTGGGGCTCGGTTACCCAGTTGTGCTGACAAAGCGGGTGCGGGCAGCAGGGGCGTTGCACTTGAGCCTTGGTGGTGGCAACGTTCTTGTGGTTTCCTCCCCGGGAGCCCCGGGGCTTTCCCGTTGTAGTTCGTTTTGGGACTTGGGGGTGTTGGTTGCTTCGGTTCCATCCACGCCCCC